CCCGCTGTCAAATAGTCACCATTGTAGCTGGCCTTTTTTGTCACTTTTATTCACAGTCACATGCGCATTAAAGGGGAAGTCAAGTCAAAAATCTTGGTTCCAATTATATGTTGGATGTGGCGCCACTTGTCTGAACACGATATTCTGAATCATATTGTGTTTGTAGAATTTGAATACAGAAGCAAAATCTGTTCGTTTTTATCCATCTCAGGGGTCGGCCATTTTGACACGTGCTGTCGACTGAAAATGACATCACAGCGATCCATGTAAGAACCAAATACGGCTCAGCTTGCGAACGTCACATGACCTTCCTCAAAAAAACAGGTGAGTGAAACACTCATGGAGATTTTGGTTACGAGTCCAACATCTATCAATGGGCTTTCCATCCTTAAAAATAATATACGCTGCTCATCCCCGGTTTGCCAGTGTAAAGCCGGAATTTCCCCACTCCGGTCTGAGAGGAAAAAAAAAAAGTCTCCTAAAATTCTATTCCCCACTTCCACCACATTTGTATCAAGCTCGCACCCCGCCGCCTCTCCCTTTGCACGTCATCCAAAAACCATGTGTGGCATGTCATTTTAACCCCCCCAGCCCCTTTTTTTGAACTGCGCGCCTTCTCCTGCGGGCCCTCTCCTTTGCTCATCGCTGTGACAAGAAGCGTCTCTTAAGTGCTCGCTCATTTGAGTCTTCATGATTTTTTTTTTTTTTTTCAAAGAGTCAACGGAATGCAATGCGCCCACAGGAGGAAAACAGAACGGTAGACGGCGAGATAATAGACGGGACACAAAGTGTTGATGGCATGTCACAGTGCAGGCTGCATGTTCTTATGTTGATGTGATCGGGCGGGGTGGTAGTGGAGGAGGGTGGGAGCAGGTTTCCTGTGCCAGCTCTTAATTACTTTAATTGGACTCATTAGCTAAGTGAGCATGAGAGACATCACCTGCAAGGCATGCGAACACACCTGTCATAGCAACATATCATCATCATTGTCCCTGATCATGGTTGTCATCACCAACCGCCTGCTGCCACACAGCAGCAACAATCCAAGCAAACACACACACACACACACACTTAATTTGCATGAAATCACAGAAGGTTTAATAGAACATACGAAATTATTATAAGGTCAGCCCGAATATGAATTCTAGCGTCCATCCCTGCACTGCTGAGTACAGTTACTTTTTTTTTCTGTGCAACCTGTCCCCAGTTATTCCAAACTCACCTTTTATGCTCTTCCCGAAATGCCCAACGATGCCACCATAAATTCTTTCAAGATGTATTTATGGCTACATTGTATCAACACAGGTGGAGAAAACATGTTGCGCTCTTACCTGTTTGAAGTGGTTTCTTTGTCGTCGTGGTTACAAAACTGCTTCGGATACACTTGAATTGGATGAATTTCATTCTTGAGGAAATTCTAATCAAATGTGTATTCCGTCCGTTTTCATATGGGTGCGTTTCAAACTGTTCTCTGTGTTTGGATGTTTTTTCTACTTTTAAAGTCACCTAAGCTGTCCTGGAAGTGTAGTGAAGAAAGAGAATCCTTGCAGAACAAAACTCTCCAGGATGACTGGGAGAGAAACGTGTTGACATTTTGTTTATTTGCATTGCCACCTGGTGGGAAAAGGAGCCAGGAAGTTGGATGTGATGCCACTTAAGACGAATTAAAACGTCCACAGGTGTTCCACGTGAAAACATAAACAACACAAAAAAAGTATTCTTTACCATTTTTTAAATGTATGTATGAAGAATCCATGTATGTTATTTCAATTATTTTGTAAGGAATTAATTTTTTTTGTGAACACTTTCATTTATCTCATTTGTGAGGAAAAGAGAAAATGTGAAGGTTTTTCTTTTTAAAAAAAAACATGCATTTTAAAACTAGTAACAAATGTAATGAAACAGTAGATTTGGACATTTAACATGACATATAAATAAAATATGACATATACACTATGACATATACAATAAAACATATGAATAAAAGTGAATATGATGAATCAAATAATTGTTATTTTGTAATTTATATAATTTTATGTACTTATTTGTATTTATTTTTTTTATCTGTATTATCTGTATTTTATTTTTAAGGATGGAAGGCCCATTGATTTATCAGCTTTTATTCGTTATATGAGCTAATATGATAAGAGAAAATGTGAGCAAACATAACCAAAAATCTACGCATTTTAAAAGTAGGACAAACATAATAAAAATGCACAATTTTCACAGTGGCTTCAGTACACTTCACCGATCGTAATTTATTATTTTATAAAATTTGAAAATTGAATATGATTCACCAAATTATTTTTCATGGAGAATATTATTCTGTTTATATAATCTATTAATAAATTGAATGGATCATCACTGGCTCAGCCTGTAATCATTATTCATAATTATTGTAAAATTCATGTTTTGTGGTAGACTGATTTTAATTTCCTTTTTTTGAAATAGCGTATTAAAAAAAATCTATATGCTCAGCTCATAAATTTTACTTATGAAGGCATATTTCCGGTTGCTTGTTTGAAATCGTTGTCCCCCCCGTCAGATCGGGCATTAAAAAAAAGACACACACACACACACAAATATGTCTTTTTTTTTTGTCATGGTGGTGGTTGTGGTCTAAACACGGTGTTAGGAGCAAAGAAGGACATCACCAATGACAAACTTTGATGTGGTCCAGATCACCAGGCCTCACCTATCTGCATCCCGCTCACTAGCCAACAGGCAGCCTGGTGGGCTGGCGGGTTGGCATCCAGACAGGAAGGCTGGCAGGCTTAGCCCGGAGTACCTTCTCCAGCAAAGCCAACTCTGGCCAGCTGGTCCAGACTCGCACCACACACTGGGCATGTTGCGCCGCATCAGTTGGGAGGCAGGACTTCGCCGTGGTTATGACACCCTGACGGCCAGAACCTGACACCTTCGGCACTAAAGCTCCACTGGGGGAATGTAGGTGACAAGATGGCGTCTGGCGAATGACTGAACATGACATTAATAGTACCGCTGCTCCGCCGTAACAATTCAGTGACTGAGTGCAAGCTGGACCCCTGTTTACTTTCACTTCCTCCTGCCAGATCCAAGGGTTAATCTCCGAAATCTGGTGGTCCGGTCTACTGGGGCGATTTAGAAGCAACAGAGTCCCCTAGTGGATGAAAGAAGGCGGCCCCTTCTCTACTTCTCTATCAGCATCTTGCTCCTCAGTATATTCACTAACTTTTATTGATCCAGATGCATCCTTTACACCCACCCCCCCCCCAAAAAAAAAAATCTCACGGCACACCACCAAACTAAAATGTTTCGTGATGTGTGTGTAGGGGGGGGGGGGTCAATTAAAAAAACTCAATACTATCATACTTGATTAAAAAAAAAAAAACATTCATTCATGACAAAATAGAATGAAAAAAGAATCAAACATTTTTTGTCACAAATTGTATCATTTGAATAGTCATTTTGCCACTCCTTCTGGTATGGCCACCCTGGCCACTTGTGGGGGGGGCTAAATCAAATACCTAGACTTCATGGCGGTTCAGCTTGGCTCAGCTCCTCTCAGAGGATAAATGATATATGACGGTGAGGACAATGGTATCTTGAGATAATTACCTCAAAAAACTTGTATCTCAAATAATACAGTTTATTTCAGAAAAATGAACCTCACCTTGGATGAAAGTCACCCAACCTGCTCAAAATCCACAGCCACCCTAACAACGCAGCTAAAGTCTGACTAAATGGAATAAAGTAGGCCTCAATATCACCATCTTAGTGTGACCTTGCGCCACCTTGATAGTACTGATATGATGTGACCCCCCCACCCACCCCCACATCACACACTCCTCCGTGCAAGTTGCATGTGTGACAGTTAAAAGGCGCTCACAGAGCAGGCAGCTTGATTGTGCTGTTTTAAAGCGCTAACTAGGCCACTTAGCACCCCGTGACGCTGATCTGATCCCCGAGGCGGCGGACTTGGCACCGGGCCCTCCTAATTTTTTTCGCTCCTTGCGTTCCCCTTCACCATGGGAACCAGGCCATCCTTAATGACGCAGGAGTGCTCTGCGAGAAAAAAAAAGAGGGCTGACATCTGTCGCGCTAAGTGGTGCGCATTCTTGTTTGCACCTTGTTTGTTCCGTCAATAAGCACCCTCTCTCTTTTTTTTTAGGATTGTTTTTGTGAGAAGAGAGACAAAAGGAATGACAAGTCTCACACGCACATGATTTTTCTGTGAAAAGTTGACCGCGGGGAATTAGAAAAAAAAATAATTGGGGCAGTGAATACAAAACAAGTGGCCCCTAACTCCTCCTCTGTAAGACCTGAGCAAATATTTGACCCATCAATCATGAAAAATATAACCATCAACCCAAAATGCTAATCACATGCAAATGCAATCAGGGGGAACTCATTGCCCCCCCAGTCGCGCAAATGAGCGCTTTCACTTTCGCCGAGAGCACCGCGTGAATGCAAATGGCCGCCTAAGCATGCGTTGCGACGGCGTGCCAAGGCGACGTAAAGAGCCCCTTTCTTTGGATGCTCCGCTGGGAGTCCACGTCGGCATGTGCGGGATGAGTTCACTTTACCAAGCCCAGGTGCCAGGCTATAAATGAATAATAGGTTTTATGGGAGCACATAATCAAGCGCGCCCTCCGGTTTTCGAGCGCATCTGCGGTGAATGATGCTCAAATTCCCACAACTCCACTGAAAGGAAGCTTGGCCATGAGAAGAGGTGCTTCCTATACATAATTCAAGGGGAGCATGCTGAAACAATTATGTTTGCTTACCGCTAAGTACCCGAGCCCAATAGCTCGCTCGCTCTCACTTGGAAGTGCGACGTGCTAAAAGTGTTCAGAATGAGCCTTTTTAATAAAACATAGGAGAACTTGTACGCAGGAGTGGTTGGGCAGAAAGAAGGTGGGTGGGGGCTACAACAACAAATGCTCTTTATGTTCTCACTGGAGCTTTGCATCCAAACTAAATTGCATTTTTAATTCAACGTTGGCAGCAAAAGAAGAGGCAAAGAGCAGGGTTTGAACAATCTCTTTTGTTTTTAATGGATCCCAATATTTCCCCTTTGGATACGTTCAAAGGTCGTCCTAACGGAGACACACGTCCGGTGTGAACTGTTCTGGAAAGTACACGACGATGTCGTGCTGTCAACATTTGGCTCGAATAAGCCTCGTGTGCCCTCTGAACAAGACGTTCAGACTTTATACAGTCAATTAGAAAAAATATATATGGTACCTTATATTATCATACAAGAGCAAAGTTTTTCTTTCTTGATTTTATATACGGTAGCTACGTTCGTTCTTCACCAGTTAGCATCGCAGCTAGCATAGTATGGACTCTTCGGTATAAGCTCTTTGGATTAGCATTGATTTGCAACTCTGATGCCTGCAACATTGATATTGTAATGAAGGTAACGGTAAAATTACTTAATCAGTAGCCTTGTAGCCAAATAGAAATTATTCAGCTATATTTTAAAAAATATTTTCAAGTGCCTTAGGATCTATTCCGAACGAAATTTATTATAACGAAATAAATGGTTCGTTTTTCAAAAATGTTGATGCCTAAGTTGCCATCCAATTCTGGAATGAGCCATAATATTTTGTATTACTCGATCTATATGAGCGGGTCAGAATATTAGAAACAACATTTTCTGTAGTATTTGTGCTCGGCTGTGGATTGGTAGCCTGTCAATTGCAGGGAACATATTCACACTTAAATTCACACCTATGGACAAGTTGGAGTCTTGAACAAACCTAACATGCATTTCGTGCGAAATTTGGGAGGAAAAACCCAGAAAAAAGCCACCACGATCGACGAGATTACATTTCATGGTGCAGATGTTCCTAATGTTGCATAATCAATACTAAACTGATTATAACAATTCTTCTCCACCTAATGGAAGTGATATGACATTGAGAATTAAGGTGAACCGAAGCTCTCCCAATCTCAATTCTGGAGACCACCGTCCAAAGCGCTCACAGGTGTGGTGAATCCTCCTCCGCATTCTTCTCCTCTCGACCCGTCTCGCACTTGCACTCCTCCACCAGCATCACTTGCCGCCGGCGGATCTCGGCGCCGCACTGCAGCGGCACGGTGACGCCGTGGGCCTTGGAGGGGGCACATCGAGAGCAGGGAGTGCGCCGGCGGGACCCCTCCCCGGCCGGGTCCACCTCGGCGGGGACGAACAGAGAACTGCACTGGCCGAAACACAGCTTGTTGTGTACGGTCACTGTGCTGCACCCCTCTGCTGTCACGCGCTATGGAGGGGGGGGGGGGGGCACAAGTCACACTGTACTGTCAACATCATGCATCTATTTCCATTATTTCCAATGGGAGATGACAAATTGCATATAAGGCACGTTACCTGAACGAAAGGAACAGCAGCGCACGTCTGTTTGGCGTCCTTCAGGTTGGCGGGCAAAAACACGGCCTCCTTGTTTCCCTTATTGATGGCCCTTTGCCACATATGCAGGCCTTGTCTCTTCTTGTGCGCCATCTCGACTGGTCTTTCAGCCTGCGGGCGGCGCAGCGGGCTCGTGGGGGCCTTCAGGGCTGGGCCGGGCCGCCCGTGGGACAGGAAAGCGGGGAAAGACGGTCTGGAGCTCCGGGCCTGGCCTGCCCGTGCGAAGAACCCGGATGCGGCGAGACCGCGCGGATCTAGCTGTAACACTCTCACAAGGCCGCGGACGGGCTCGCCGGGTCCAACGCCGGAGGACTCAAAGTCAGCTTTTGACGCTTTGCGGATGTGCTCCAAAGTGTTGCGAGGGAAGGGGAAAGATGTCGCCAAAGTAGAGAAAAAGACCACGAGGGTGAGCTGTAACATCATGACGGAAAAATAGATGGAGTCGCAAAAATATGTCACGGTTCAAATAAAACGGAACACAAAATGGCAGCATAAGAGGAAAAAAAATAAATCTATACGATTTGGGCCAAGGTACCCAAATGGTGACCTTGCTGTCAGTGCTGCGGCCAAGTGATGGAAGGAGTGCTTTTATACACAACGGTGGCTCTCACCTGCACTTGAAAGGAAAGAAGGCGTCACAATTCCCACTCGGCGGCAGACGTCACACCGAGCTTCAAAAGTCAAGACACGGATGTTTGCCCGGCAGCAACTGCACAATGACAGACACTTACAACCTGAAAACATACAGAGCAATAAATAGCAAGACAAATGAGGAGCTTTATGTTTTGGTACATTTCAATCTGGCAGGTTTTTACTGGCTGGTGCACATATGACACAGAGCCCTTTGTTGACATTTTTGACATCATTTTTGAATCCTTAATCATGAGCGTATTCATTTTTCTTTCCAAATTTCAAATGTAATGTCTTGAAATGACGGAAATATTGAGCAAATTTACAATTTCTTCATAATGAATACTCTATGAACAATAAGCTTACTTAATATTAGGAATCCTGATTAGCTGTTTGTCATTACTTTTGTCAGACTAACCCAAAACAAATGTGCTATACTTTTGCCTTTTTTTTTTTTTTTTTTTTTTTTTTTTTTTACAGTCAACTTGAAGAATGCAACGTCACTTTCGTCATACCGGTGACAATCAAGTTGAAGACAATTTTTATTCTTAGAAAGTATAAACCAAGCACACCTGAGATATAGATTTGAATTAATAGTTTTTGGTTGTTATATTTTGTTAAATCTTCTTTAAGATTTTATCCGAAGTACACTTAAAAAAAAGTAATACTTAGCAACGACTTCAAACATAAATCAAAAAATGAAAATAATTTTTAAAAAGAAAGAGTTCTAAAAGATAAAATGTAACTGTTTTGTACTTACGGGTTAAATTCAACAAATCTGTGCTTTTTTGGGGTTTGTTTTTGGTTTTAATATTATACTATTATTAGATTTGACTCTACAAACAGTATAAGCACACGTGCACACATTTTTAATACGGTATACACAAACATCTCACTCAAAGTTTTACCGATGCAACGGTATTTAACTGTAATGTAGAAAATAAAAGGTAAATGTCAACTCAGCATGTGACAAGCCCGATTGTAAACCATCGGGCCTTAGCGGTACGGCTGGTCCGGTGTTCTCACGCCGTGAAGGCTGTAAAGCCATAATGACTTTACGTGACTGTCAAGTCACCTCCTGCTCGTTGATTCCCACAACAGCAAGAACAAGTGCTGACATGAGCTCCCATCATTATTCCAGCGTGACACTTCAGTGTGCTCCACCAGCCGTGACCTGATCACACGCCGGACCATCAAAGTTCCAATTGTGGCACTGTTTGACTTTCTCATGGAGGATCTACAAGCGTTAAGAGACACCGCAGGCCTCCCAGAACCAGAACCTGCCACACATTAGTGTGATCATTGGGACAGTGCTCACAAGGTCGATGGAGATTTGCTTTTCAAATGCTTAACGAGATTGTGTCCACTCTGGGGCGCTGCTGACAAATGATCACATCTTTGAAACGTCAATGAAAGAGTTCCAAAATTTCCTTTACATATACAGTATAGTAATGATCCGTTTAAAGAGGTATTTATTGGAAAATATTTGATGAGTGAGTTCGTAGTTTGCACTGATGTAGAACTAAATTGCCTCATAATGGAAGCGGTTTTCAATATTTTTTTCCCTCTCATATCCTCTTGGGTCGCTGAAATATCACAAAACACAAGAATGATTTATTCAATATGTAAAATCATTGGAAAACTGTACGTGTAGGCTCTAGGTTTTTGAAACACGTGATTACAGTTCATTTTTATTTTTTGTTTGAAAAGGAAACGAATAACATGCGCAACACTTTCAATAAATATGAGCAAGTGTTTACATTTTGAAATGCTGACTTTTGTAACAATCCTAGGAAATCACAATGTTTCATCACTGGTGAACGAAGTTTAGAACTACCCCGCAGGCGGCTCATTTGGTCATGGGGGACGACCTGGTGACACTACCTATGACCAGCAGATGGCAGCATCGGGTCTTTTTTGGATGAGATCAACTTATCAACAAGGCTTGAAGATTGTGAAGATGTCCGACCTCGTTTGTCATGTTAAATCTACTACAAAGAATGTCACAAAAGAGAGAAAAGATTATTTACATGTACACGCGCAAGCACACACACACACACACACACACACACACACACACACACACACACACACACACATACTATCGCAACAACTTAGTGGCATGAAAATCGTTTGTAAAGTTTGCCATAAAGCGCTCGACATGTTTTGAAAATGTTTTTTGTTCTAAGAAAAAAATAACAGCTCATCATCCTGACAGCATCCAAACAAGACATTTTGTTGCTCGAGTGAGTTGAAATCTGTTGACATATGACGCTGCTATTAAGAGAAATAATAATTACCAAAAAAGAAAAAAAAAAAACAAAGACCATGAGTCAATGTGTAAACTGAACATGAATGTTCAACTTTATTTCTTCAAGTGATTAAATAAAAACTAATAATAAACTCATCGGATGAGAATTGTAAGTGACATTTTTGTTATTTTAGAGTGAAATGATTCTGTGTGTATGGCACCAACTCCTGACAGCCGTTGAAACATAAATAGATCACTGTCAATCACTGAGACACTTTTGAACCAGCAGGACAGACGAGCTCCACTGACTGCTGATTTGGATAACGTACCGTCAACACAGTTTATGTTGGTTTTGACCGAACCATCTTTACTCATTGAAAACAACTGACAAGCAATATAAAATAAAAATGTGATCATCATGCTTTGCTACCAATCTGCTTGTAGAGAACCATTGAAACCACCATGGCAGCAATCTGCAAACAAGAGCAACAATGGTGAACTTGAGGAGGTATGAGATTATTTCTCATATTTTGATTGTATTATTTATAATTTCTATAATTTAAGTAACAAATCATCCAAAAGCATAAATAAAAGGGTTGAATCTAAATATAAGATGTGCATTTTTATTTTATTTTTTGCCAAAAAACACTCAATTATTGAACGAGTTTGAGTTTAGCCTGGGTTGTTAGTGTCAATTACGGAGAGTCTTCGCTGTGATTTATTATTTTTTTAATTTAATTTTTTTTTTGGGTGAATGTTGTAGAATGAGTTTGAAAAGATATTAAAATATTTTGGGGTACATTTACAGTTTAAATTGTGAACATAGACAATGATAACATTTTTGGGAGAGGCTCAGTCCTAAACCCCATCAATAGTGGGGGATCACTCCATGCAAAATTTTAATTTGAAAAAAAAAAACAATTCTATTTGAATTATATCTTTAAAATAAATTCATTATAATTAGCCAACTCTTTAAAAAAACTGTTGACTGTCTACATAAAATACAAATGTTACAAATCGGTTTTATTATTTACAAATGAATCAACTAATTATCTAAGTAGATACATTTTTAAAATAATTTCAAAAATAGATTTCACTTAAGCCATTTTAGGAAAAATGGCGAAATTAATTAATGAATGAATTAATTTAAATGCTCGGTGGGCCGGATTGTTCTCTGTCTACCCGTGCGTTAGTTTGAACACGTGCATGTTTTTTTCATACCTCAAGAGCAGCGATTCCGAGAGCCACGCCCGCAATGATGGGGGCATTTTCCTCGATGAACTGCAGCAGCTTGTCGAAGCAGCCGTCCACCAACTGGTGGAGAGATGCCACATTCAAGCAACCAAGTGACACAAAACCCGATCGGCTGCCCAAGCGGCTGCCAAAGTACCTGCAGTTCTGCGGCGGTATGCGCTGACGAGAGGCTGCACGTTTCGCCGACGAATGTTCCGTTGCAACACTGGGATGGATAAATCTCTCCGTTTTGGGTTTGGAAGGGCGAGTCGTCAAAATCGGTGAAGTTCTTGTATCCACAGCACTGGAACTGTGAAGACAGAATTGTTGAACAATATCAACAATTGCGCAGTCCAAACATTAAGAATACATTTATAGAAGAGTGAAAAATAGTGACGTAAATAAGATGGTGGTTGTACCCCCTCCATGGTAGCGTTCCACAGCGACGTCAATTTCTCGTCGCGTCCATACTCGGTGGCGAGGCTTTTCTTCACTTCGGCCTCAAGACCGTCAAAGACCTGCGCCGCCTGGAGATCGTGGACAAGTTCTCGGAACAATCTTCCATGCACCTCAAGGTTGCCAATCAGTCGTCGGGACTTACCAAATCCTTGAAAACGAGCAGCACCACGGCGGCGGCGACCTCAATGAGGAATATGACCAGCACAATACTGAAGAACTGAAGGAGGATGGAATCGAAATGAAATGAATGTTGATCATGAGTCCATGCGACAGCCAAATGTGAAATTCTTAACAGCGCATCCCCTTGCCAGAGACCCCTCGTCTCCTGACTGAAAGTGAAATATTTAACAAATGTGTTCTTTTCGGCAACAGACTATCTCAGAACTGGCCCCGCCCCCCACAAGAACCAGGAAGTAGCCTGTAGACTAACAAAGGAGCCAACAAACAAAATTAAGTTCAAGTTCCTTTTTAGCATTTCCTTCAATCCAGAAAAAAATGTTTTAGTCCATCTGTTAAATTGTAATTTCAGAAATCATCCTTCACGGGCCACATTAAATGAAGTGGCGGGCTGGATCACACCCCCAGGCCTTGAGTTTGACCCCTGTGATATCTCAAACACAAATTATGGCACAATAACATTGTTTAAATTGTGAAATTATTTCTTTAGTTTTTGCAACTCCTTTTGACCCATAATAATCAGAACAATAAAACAGTACCGATCCCATTTGTGAATTAGCAAATCGATCCTCCGTGAACGGCCTGCTACCTCAACAGACGCTATTGGACGAGACCGAATCTTTTCGACCATTTGTCGGAAACATTTGCAAAACAACTTTAAACACAAAGCCCAATCAAACTAAAACCGTGGGTCGGTTCATAAACGGATGGTGGATGCTCACCGTCAGCAGCATGCACCTGCTCTCCTTGACGGCGCCACAGCAGCCCAGGAATCCGATGACGAGCAGCACGGCGCCCACGCCAATGAGCAAGTATCCCACATTAGCCACCTGGGAAATTTCTGACGGAAGGGCATCCACGCCGTCCAGTATTCCCATGAGGGAATTGCTGTCCACCTTCACCCAAATGCCCACTCCCAAGATGGCGGCACCTGCTGCCTGAAAAGCCAGCAGGCCCAGATCAATCAAAAGCAACATCAGGCAATCGAGACATGTTGCTTAGCATGACTTATACTTGAACAGGAACATCTGGGATAGGTCATTCACGTTTTATTAGGCAGCTTAACTTGCCTTTAATTGACGTGTTAAAAATGACGTTAAGTATATTGAGCAATCAGTTATCATAGTTTAGCTACATTGTAGTGGGATTTTTTATTGTTGTTGTTGATCACACATTCACAAGACATGAAGAAAAATAAAACGTAAATTGTTTGGAATCATCTTTTGCATAGCATCTGTATACATTTATATTCAAAGAAATCTCCATTGTCTTGAAGGGAGATATCTCTTGAAATAAAATGATATCAAATAAAATCGATTCCATATTTATCATCGAACAGTAAAATAATGATGCTCTCGCAAAGTATATTTTGATGGCTCTCAAAATGTCCTCATTTTATCAATGAAATTCAGCTTTGATCGGAACTGTCAGAAATATATTCATATTTATTATTGTAGTTGCTGTACCTCCCCCCACCCCCCCACCCCTCAATATTTTGTTTATCACACATAACTACACCAGAGGGATTATATGGAGGTATCGTTGTGAGTGAGTGAAAACACACAACCGCAAACATGAAACTCATCCATTGCCATGTTGACCTTTTCACAATGATGGCTCACTACTTCTGTGTGGCAAGAAGCTGACCAAGCTAAGTGAACGCACCGCAAGTAAACAACCCCTTCCTGTGTCATTTGAACAAGGCAGAGCATTTGAGAAAATGGTAAATGGTAATTGACGATATTTGGAGCCTTCTTCTCTACTGCTATATCAGTATGGAGGTTGATTTTTAAATCGACGTGGAAATCCAGATATCGTTAACATGATCAATGAAGGACTGACCAATTTACTTTCCTCTTGCTCAGATAAATGGCACAGACGTGCTCTGTTGATGCTGAAAAGAATCGCGTACTGTTGAGCTGACGCGAGCTAGCAGACTAGTCATCATGTTCTGCTAAATTGCTCAAAAACAAGCCGACCAAACATTTTGTACCGAGTATACCAGTGAGAAAATGTCTGGCTGAAGGCCAGTTTGTCCTTTAAGTATCATTATTATTATTTCAGCTCAGATCAGTGGCAGTCAATCACTTCCCAGCCAATGGGAAGCCACCTGCCTCACGGCATCACAGTGTTATGAAAAGGTTGATCAAGAACTTACAAAAATGGTGCCATTGAAGATGAACATCATCAGTTTGAGGAAACCTGCGCAACACATCTTGGCGGATGTTTTCACACTGTTGGGGGAAAGAAGATGAAGAAAAAAATAAGCACAGAAATGAAAGCTGTGCGTGGCGATGTGCAGGCCCTTAGTTTTAATGTTACGAAGTGACTTTTGGTGGTGTCTGCGATCCCTAAAATAAGTCAAAGGTCACCAGGATCTATGTGCCCAGCAAATACAAAATAACATTGCCATTTGGCCTCATACTTAAACCGTAACAAGTCTGTTAAGGCTGTAAGGAAGTGAAGAGTAGCATGGCACCACTACATACAACATCTGCATTTCTCACATTTGCTTTAGTTAGACATTAACCAGCCAACAGAGCAGACACGGGCCTCATCTTTTACATTTGAACGCCGACGCTGTCTTGAGTTTCAGTTGGAGTGGGGCTTCAAATTGTTGTGGTTATTCATTTCACCTCATCACACAGTACGTTACTGGAGACTGTACACAAACCAATGATGAGAAGACAGAAGACATGGGATCAAAATGCCGGCCTATTGCGGTGTTTTACTGGAACAATGGGCGATCAAATAAAATTGGACCGATGTTGGGCCTCAGCCTCGATCGGGGCTTCCCAAAATTTAGAGTAGTGTGTGGCTCTACAACGAGTGGTACTTGGGCTCATTCTGGTAGAACGTGAAAGAATCACTGCCGAAGTGCAGTTAAATTTTAATGAAATGTTCCTCTATTTAGGCATCGCGATAACTGTGCAGAATGTTACAGTGAATTGGAATTGTAAACATTTTCAGAAACATTTAGTCCTACTATGCTACTGTATTTTAACATTGGTCATGATGTTGGTACATGGAGCACTCAGTGTTTTTTTTTTTTTGTTTTGGTTTTTTTTTTGAGGTGGTACTTTTGAAGAAAAAAAATGGCCTTTGAGCATGACCAAGCAGATGTCAATCACATGCATGACATCTCACGCTAATCTTGAACCTTTGTACGCATTATTATAAAAGCGATTTTATCATTCCAGGATTTGATTTATCAAGACGTCGGCGACATTAAAGTATCTCTTTCCCACTCAGGGGGTATTGGCGCAGATGAAAGATACTCCAATAAAAGATGATTAAAAAAAGAAATGTGTTGCCATGTTATCGAGCCTTTCTGATTATTTGGCTCCACTTCTTCAAGAAGCCTCTGATAACATGTCATTAACGACGAGAGTGAGACATTGGTCACAGTTCAGGTAGCACAGTGATGTCATAAAACACACCTTCTTCCTGACCTTGCACACCTTTGTTAGCCTCTGTTCCCGGCATAAATAATGTTATATAGGTAGTCCCCCCCACCCCCTTTTTTATTGCCACTTTAAATGCCATTTACATAAACCACCTGCTTGGCAAATTTGCTCTCAAAGACACAATAAAAAATTTTCCGTGTCGTCAGCATCGGAATTTGTTTGAAGGTAGCGGAACTGGGAAAAGAACAATTTGCTACGAGAAGCACACGCAAAAATATTTTTTTCTTAATATTTGGATGGGGGGGGGGTAATTTCTCACAAAATATTTTCATATTAATATGATGACAAAAAGGTTTTTGGGGTAAAATTGAAAAATATTACCAGAAAACTATGAGAATAGTCATTAAAAAAATAATACTGCAATATGAATACAAAGTAAAGTCACAATATAAAGGGGAAAAAAATGTTGCCATGGTAGTAAAAATATTGTTACGACAAAGTCATAGGTTTCATAAAATTTCATAAAAAATAATAAAAGGATGTGACTAAAGGAAAAGAAATGCCATGAGTATTAAGTAATCAAGTAATATTACCAGAATAAAGTTGGAATATTAAAAGAATAAAGCTGAATACAATAACGTAATGTTAAGAGAATAAAGTCATCACGTTACAACAATTAAGTCATAATATTAAAAGAAAAAAAAATTTAAAGCTGTGATGTTATGAGAATAAAATCTTACAATTACAATTTTATTTGTGGGGAAGCGAGGGGATTTAATACAGTTAATATCCGAAAGGGGATCAAATGATCTCATCCCCGTGTTGCTCAGAACTGCTTAGAGGGATTTGTATGGGATCCAGAAATGGCAATGATATGATGTATTTACTTATTTCCAATTTAAAAAAGTGAAACTTGTAAATTCATTCAACACGTTTTCAAAAGGCCAATTTCAATATTCAATATCATTTCGTTTCTTACGTCATCTTAAAATATAGAAGGTGAATTTTGGGGGCTTTGTTAGCTGTCATCATCAAAATTAAATAAAAAAATCATTTACTCTGTGGAACGCATGTACAGCATGAGTTTTACTTTTTTAATCAGAGTACTAAAATGACAGATTTTTTTTTTTTTAACGATATTCCATTGTCTTAAGTTGCTCCTGTATTTCATCACTGCCAAAGGAAAAGCAAGCAAAGTATAAGGTTCTATGTCCGAAAATTCAAAATATTTGAAATAAAATCCAAGTTTGAAGCATATATTTTAAAATACATTATTTTGGTCATTACAAAAAAAAAAAAGTTACAAAATGTGAAGATTTTGATTTGTAATGGACGGGATCTTTCATATATTTCATTTTAAGTTGTTGGCATAGCTCAACTAACAAAGTTTGCCAATGTAATACATTGATTGATTTTTTTTTTTTTTTTTTTTATCAACCAGTTACAACCAACTCAAAAGTCATGTTTCTTTAGACAAGTACTTTATATATCTGACTTGAGAAAATACAGTTCCTGAGCGCCGCCTGACAATTTAACGGTAGATTATGGTGTCAGTAACGACTCCACAGCCCAGTGATGTCAAAAGAATACAACAGAGTTCATACCTGCGCGCAGTGACTTGTGTGGCTCAATCAGGAGTGTGGGCAACCAAAAGTTTCCGCGTGTTCCTTTATCTTCTCTCCGGGTTCACACGCATATAATGCAGATAGGGGAGGAGAAGGGAGTTCATGCCCTGCACGTCACTGACTTTTTTTTTTTTTTGTGTTGTTCTTTTTTGGCCTGGCAGATAAGCAACATTTCCTGGTGGTCAAAGTCCCTTTTGGCATGGCAACATTTACGACGCAACCACAAGCATTTACAGCTGATGCGCAATGAAAATAGAAAAATGGACTTACCGATTAAAGATTTCTTATCTGGACCACGTCAACTGGGTCATTTCAAATTGGAGGCCAATAAAATAAACACGGCACATACAGTACACAAGCAACTCCATAATATACTGAAATAAGGTCATCTATCCATCTTGGATTATTAAAACAAGGAAGGAATAAGTTGGACCTACTTTTTGGGTAGGAGAAATCCCAAAAGCGCGGTCATTTTGGTAATAAATACTACAATGTACAACAAAAAATTTTTAAAAATATGATAAGTATTTTATTCCAAAACATAACAGCAGACATAGTGTAAAGCACCCTTTAAATTCCCCAATTTGAAGGCGGAAATAAAAGAAACAGGTGGCAAAAGAAATATTGTCTTATCAGTGACCATTTACAGTGGAAACCCCCCCCAAAACATTCCAAGACAATGACATCAACAATGAGCTCCCCTTGTACCTTGACGTCACGGTTATGCAACTTCCTAACACAGCCACAAGGTGGCGGCATGACACAAGTACTGTGATCCTCACTGCTCTCCGGTTTGGTCCATATGTTTGCCTGCAACAGGTGCCTGCTTCCACACACACAAAAGTGATAAATAAGGGGCAAGGTCAAAGGCACGTGTCCGCTAAGCAGCTCTTTGGTATTTCAGTGTAACAGTCACATTTAAATAAGGCCCGATTGAGGAAGAATAAGTCGACAAGCTTAGCAATGTGTGTGTGCGAGCGTATTGGCCATCAGCATGTGCAGCCCCCCTGGATGCCGCGAGGAGTGTCCTTCAAGCCGGCTTCCTTGTGATTGGGCGATGGAGAGGCGTCACTGCTGACGCCGTCGTTCATCTTGTCGCAGATGACGTCCACCAGCTTGTCAAAAACCTGCTTCACGTTGATGCATTCTTTGGCGCTGGCCTCGAAGAACTCAAAGCCTGCGAGGGGTGGGTGAAAGTAAAGGGATACACAAAATGATAGCTTGTTAGCATTTTAGCCGGTCACATTTGGATTTTGAAACAGAACCCAACTAATAGACATAACAGGGGTCTGCTCTAGTGCTTTCTTAACAGAAGTGGCAACATTTTTATTTTCAGGTTTACGGAGAGGAATCTAGTAAAGTCTGTTAAGGCACAAGATGTGCCCAAGTGTTGCTAGCATAGTAGATGCTTGTATACTAGCTAATGGCACTGTTAGCATTTTTATCTCCTTCGCCAAGGCCATCACCATATAATTTGGATTTACTGCAACATACCGAAGCACTTTTGCCATCGTTTTATACGTCAGCATGTCAACTTTTCGCTTCTTAGCATTGTAGTTTCTCAAATATTGCCTGACCAATGAGGCACGTGATGCTCCGATATTAACATGATCAGTCCGCACAGGTCACCTGCATGCAGGCTGTTATAGCATACAAGCTGTTACCATTGTTAGAATTTCTATATTCACACAGCGAGATAATTGGTAGACAAACACCCTCCAAAATAAATAAATAAATAAAAACTCTGGAACTATAAGTCGGCCACACGATGACACTGTTATTAAGCTGTAAACATCCTCAGACCATTTGTGAGTCTGGCGTGAAGAGCGTGTGTGCGTGTTTTCCTGCACTGACCGAGCTCTGTAGCGAGTCTCTGACCATCTTCGGTTGGGACCTGCCTGTCTTCCTCCAAGTCCAACTTATTCCCAACCAGCACCACCTGGGCGTTGTCCCACGAGTACGTCTTGATTTGCGTTCCCCTGGTAAACAAAAAAAATACATGGTTCAGTTCGTGCAGCAAAGGCTTCAAAAACACCTGAACTAAGGCCTGATTACCAGTCTTGTACCGCCACAAAGGAGTCCTGACTTGTGATGTCATATACGAGGAGGAAACCCATCGCTCCTCTGTAGTAAGCTGTGGTGATGGTGCGGTAGCGCTCCTGACCCGCTGTGTCCTGGAAGCACAAAAGCAGAAGAGCGTGTCACTTGCATCCATTCAACTTTCATTGGACTCGTCCACATTAGTGTCGCGGGTAGGGATGGAGCCGATCCCATCTGATTTTGTCTGAGTGGCAGAGTATACCCTGGACTGCTTGCCAGCAGTATAGTATATAGATTGTATTTTACAATAACAGTGAAAGTTTTTATGTCAATGTGCAGCGGAGACTCATTTTTTTTTGCAACGGTCCACTTCAGTCGCTTTCGTCCTCATTTTGGTCTGCAGCGGGGCCTTACGAAAATACTCCTAAGACTAAATTTCAAACAGCAATCATTTTCCAATACTGTATTCATATTGCATCATGACATGGCACCAACGCCGAGAATGCACTTAGGAGGTAGCCACAAACTTGTAATGAATAACAAAATCGATGGAGAAGTGTGGGGCATCTGAGGACTTCAAAGTTAGTCGTAAGTCATTTATGTATTTATTTGCTCCAGGGAAACGTGGCTGTCGTTGAGAAGTGAAATTTATACTGGCACAACGGGGAAAGGTGTCAGGGCTGGTCTATCAATGTGACGGACCACCACCAAATAAACACTATGCTATTTTCCTCATGGAAAGCCCTAGGGCTGGTCTATCAATGTGACGGACCACCACCAAAGTAAACACTATGCTATTTTCCTCATGGAAAGGATTGGAGCTGTTCTTTTACAGTACTCATATACAGTATATTGGGCACTGGGCAGCATGGTGAAAGAGGAGTGACGTCACATCTGCTTCATAGTGCTGAAATTCGGTACTATGCTAAGAAGGCAACCAATCCGAGAACAAGTGTTACAGAAATGGAGGGATATATACTACATTGTTGTTATTTCGAGACAGCAAGTACATGAAATCATTGCCGTTTTACTTTTCAGTCGTGTCGTACTGTACGACAAACATTTCAACTCTCTGAAGTAGCGAAATTCCCACAAGGATGGTGGAGGGCAAAGGGAAAAACGGGCACGGCAGCTTGCGCGAACCCCACAAGGAAAAGTGAATGATTGACTTTGCAGACAAGGAAATCTTTCCAAACAGGAGACGGTGTTGCACCACCCAAAGCGTACCAGGATGCAGTCTTTTTTTTTTGAAAGCACAACAATAAGTTGTGAAAGTCTAGTGTTTGTCTTCTTTATGTGTAGTCTGCCGGGGAACTTGAATCATCATATAACACTTCACGTGGAGGCACAGTAGCACACTTAAACAGATGAATTTAATATGCGGTTCCATTATGAAAAGTAATGCTAATGATGCAGTGCGGAATGGAACAAAAAATGAGTGGTTTCAGTGGTCCCGCGGAAGCCATTGGAACAGAATTTGATCATTGCTCCGGATGTGCGCAGAGTGCTTACTAGCAGAATACATTCCAACATGGAGGGAGGAGGGGTGAGGATGTATTGCTTTCATCTCGCAGGAGTGCTGTGAGTGAGCCGAGTCTTGTCCTGGTTGGGTGTCGGGCTGCATCGTAAGCACAGTGGGGCCCCCCCACCCCGCTCAAAGCCATGCATATTTCATGAAGTGTACTGTCTGGGGAGCATGTTAAACATCAACTTGCATTAAAGCCGCCGCGTGAGAAATGACTTGATGCCACATGCATGGCAACCGGGAGGAGGCCCGATCCGGGTTGTGGGGCGGGGGGGCACGAAAATGGTCTCCAAGCCTCTGGGCTGCACGCTAGAACCTTTTAACCTCAGCTTTTATTGGCTCAAGTCAATTTACAGCACTGGCATTTAAGAGGCGATACTTTTTTTTTTTCCAAACAATTTTGTTGATTTATTATCTGTCAAACCTGTTTTCCCTGCGGAGTTATTTGTTGTATCCACTACACCGAAGAAACAAGACGAACTCTGCGCCACATATTGGCTTCATTTGTTCCAATTTTTTTTCAAAACGACACCTTTTGATCCACTTTCTTTTATTTTCTTCAAATTTCTGATGAGCATGAATGGCTATATGGGCCACATTGAAATACTTACAAACAATATTCGGAGAAAAACGTTAAAAGTTGGAATATTTGGGTCATGATGTCATATTAGAATAAAATAAATGGTGACAAACAGCTACATTAAGGTCTGTGTGGAAAAGTAAACATTTACTGCTGAAAATGGCTATCAGGTATTCTCATAACATTTGTTGTTTCCTCTGAAGTCAAGATGGCGGCAGCTCCACGAATTTAAACCAACTATAATAACTTGTGATAGCAACAGGAAAAAAAAAATGTGAAGATGTTGAGTCTAATGGTGGGGAAGGTCAAGATTCACAGCGGTATTGTTTCACTTGAAATTTTTAAAAGGTCTTTACGAAGCATCACGCAATCTTGCTTTGAGATGGCATGTACGGTTATCTTGAATCTTATAATTCAGATTTAAGCAAGATTAATAGTAGTCCCAAAAGTGAAGCACGAATGTTGGAAAAGTTGTTTTGAAAGAACAACCGGTGTTAAGTAAAATCAACATTATGCATCTGTGTGTAGTTTTGATTTAGCTTTTATGTCCTTAAATGTACCATATTTTGTCTTTTGCAATGTTGTATTTTTATTGCGTTTCATTGCCAATAGAGTGAACTGCCAGCGTGCGTCTTCCTATGCACTGGGGAGCTGTAGTGCGGCATGAAGTCGACAGTATGGTGCTTGGGCTTTCTTTTAAATATTCATATAGAGATCATAATTTCAGTAAAGCTCCAGGGGTGCTAACACAAAGATTAGCAAGTGTAAAGAACAATAAACACATAAATAACACTTTAAGTGTCCTGCCCGCAGCCATTTTAGCAACCTGTGTAGCTTTCCGGGGCCACAAAAATAACATTTTACTTATTTTTGAAATAATTAAGAAACTATGTGTAAAAGTGAGTGCATCAACAGGACTATTATAGTATCATTTACAATTTATATAATCTAGAGGTACACAGTTAGGCTTTTGGGTGAAATTTCAGGATGAACTTAAAAGGAACCCATTGACAGATAAACTGAATTTGCAGCAAATGAGTTGACATTAGCCCCGTTCACACGGCAACGTTTGGTCCGACGCTGCACCGAAGCAGCGCCAGTCGAGCGTTCACACGTGCACATTTGCTCCGACGTAGCTCCACTAAAGAGCTTATACCGGACCAAATTTGATCCACCTCAGGGAGGTGGTTTAAAAATTTGCTCCAGAGCAAATGCTCGTTTGCGACGCTACGCCGGAACAAATGTGCACGTGTGAATGCAGCTGGGTGTGAATGCAGCTATTGAAAGAACAGCGCCTCTGGTGGCAGCAAGCTATTGGTGCATTCCATCTTGCATTGGTGGCTTGAATCAATTCCCCACAACTAACAGACATCGTGACAGATTATTTAATTGTCATGAAGGCAGTACAGAGGAAAAGTGGTGAGCCACATGCCTCGCAGGTCTAAAGTTTGAATATCGGAATTGGTTGTTCGTGCCCTGTGATTGGATGCCGATCAGTCCAGGGTGTGTCCCTCGCCCAAAGTCATTCATGATAAAAAAAATAGATGACGGTATGGATTATCATCATGAGAATCACAAGTTCTCAGAGTTTAGTTCCTTGGTGTCTAAGTGTATTAATGTCCTTGGGTGCTTCTTTAGGACTTTCTCATTCTGTATGGGAATGTTTGTACATTCTTTTATTCTATAGATTATTTATTGTATTGCACAGACCTCCCTAGCTGTCTCGTTGCAGTTCAGGGTAGGACGTTGTGTTTTCACACTCAGCACCTTCTGAGAGCAGAATTATTCAAATGGAATGTGCAAAGAAACACCGTCTGCCAGCCTTTAGTTGTTGACGGCCGCACAGAGCAAACTCCCCTCTGTCAGCCAAAAGTGAATTACTGGGGTTTAGAAGCCTTTTTTTGCGAATGAACTTTTCTTTCTCCCTAATTTACAGGTCTTCTCTGAGGTTAGCAATCGGAAATCAAGCATTTTGCTGCAATTCGGAATAAAAGCTCCATTTGATGATACGCTCACATAATCCCAACGAGGTGGATTTGGTAGCAAGGCATAGACATCATTCTATGTTGTTACGCCTCACCCAGATCTGCAGCTTGATGCGCTTGTCGTTCCTGTAGATGGTCTTGACTTTAAAGTCGATGCCCACCGTGCTGACAAAGGCGGACGTGAACGAGTCATCCGTGTAGCGGAACAGGAAGGACGTCTTCCCTACGCTGCTGTTGCCGATGATCAGCAGCTTGAACATGTAGTCGAAGTTCTGGTCGGCCGCGTCTCTCTCCTCTCTGGCTGATGCCATCTGTCAAAGTGGGAGATGAAGAGGAAAGGCGGTCGTCAGGCAAAGCAGCAACGCTCATCAGGATACAGCTGAAGGATGTGCGACGTGGCCCGTAGTAATGTACAAACATGTTATCACAAGCTGTGTTTGCTAGGAAAGCAGTTGCTTGTACTCCTCCTGTGTGAGTCAGAGCTGCACTGGGTCATCACGTCCTTGGCAGATAATTGGCAAATTCATTTATCTCATGTTATTTGGTCATTTTTCTTAATTTAGTTGGACTGGGCATCCGTGTCAAGATAAGAGCATAAAAGCTAAGATAACTTTTCCTCATCACCACACCATTCTCACAAGGCATAATAATTAATACCTGGAAAGCGTTGAAAAAAAAAAAAAAAGAAATGATTGCCAAGGATGTTCTGGTTAATTTTTAGGATCAAGGATCAACATACAGATGACATCAAGCAAGTCCGTCAGCATGAGGGCATCTCTAGTGTGCAGCCCCCTTCAGGTTACCCCAACTAATATTCAGTTTGATTCAGATCTGGGTTTTGGCTGTGGAATGACAATTTTTTTTTTTTTTTTTACTTTTCTTCTGGTGAAGTAATTCATTGGATGAGTTGGGCTCATTGTCATCTTGAAAGTTTAAATTACCCTTCGGCGTCAGCTTTAAAGGAGACGTCTGGTTTGGTTCAATACCGACTGTTCATGAATCCCATTACCTTGACCAGTTCTGGCGCATCTGTTGAACATTGCAGGTATCGGTAGATTATTTAATAGGGTTGAACAATAAAGTGAATTCAAATTGGCACCGCAACGTAGTGGAGTATATTATTCATTTATTAATTGTCTAGATAACTTCAGTTCTTAAGAAGTGCAGTCCACATGTTTACATATCATTGCTTCGTGAAACAGGAAATTTTGAACTCAAGTGGAAAGTAGTCTTATTAACTCACGGTTCATTTGCTTTTAATTTAGCGTAAACCTAACGAATAACACCAAAACATTTAAGTAAAAGATATCTGTAAAACATATATTTAATACTGTGGTGGTGTTTAAATTCCTCCATATCAATAACACCAATATCTCAACTTCGACTCTATATAAATAAAATGAATGGACAAATTCCTCCAACTGATAAATTGTCTACCGGAAAGAATGACTTAACCAGAGCAATTATGACATTTGATTCGCGTCTCCTTGTGCTTGGGAACTGTGAGCCCAGCCGAGGGAGTGTGAAAAAGCCCGTGATGTCACCGTAAAGGATCTCAGCTGCTCGGCAATTCAAGTTAACGCTCAGCCGTCAGAAATCCATCCCCTGGGTAATAGCTGAGTAAATGGTAAATGGAAGTGTTTCTTTGAAAACATTCCATCTTGGCTTGTCACAGCACGGCCATGAATCACGATCTGGCCCATGCCCCGCCCACCCCTCACTCCCTCCATCCCTCTATTTCCGTCACCCGAGACTCCTGTTGGTCATTTCTCAACGCAGCCTCCAAACTGATGGCGCCGGTCGATGCTGAGCCCTGCGCATCGCATCGCATCCATCATCACCCACTCGTTCATCTTCAGCCATTCACCATCTCCCAGCATCATCAGGATGCTGAAGCGGGCATTCGTTCTCACGTCCACCCACTTTCCTCTCTCTCTCTTTCGCTCTCTGGGGACCTGGTCAGCATTACTGCTCACACCAACATAAAGAAGGTCTGGCTCAGCAGCACACACAAACCAAACACATGTTGCGACACATCATTGAGTTGAACAAAGTGGTGGGTTGAAAGAGAAAATGTAGAGGATTTAGATCAGGGGTGTCAAACATTTTATCATCACGTGTCATGTCGTGGTTATGGTTGCCCTCAGGGGCCCTGGTTACAATGGTGAAACCACATAAATGTATCACCGTAACATCACGATGCAGTGTGTTACTTGGTTTAAGATCCAATTTGCTTTAGGTGGTGGGTAAAGTCAGAAAATCCATCCATCCATTTTCTGAACCACTTTATCCTCACAATGGTCGCGGGGGGTGCTGGAGCCTATCCCATCCATCTTCGAGCAGTAGGTGGGGGACACCCTGAACCGGTTGCCAGCCAATTGCAGGGCACACAGAGACAAAAAAAAAAACATCTGCGCTCACACTCACATCTAGGGACAATTTAGAGTGTTCAATCAGCCTACTATGCATTTTTTTTAAGTAATGACAGCTCTATCTTTCTTTTAGGATAGATGCAGACAAACGCAACAGTAAGTTTTAGCATTTCAACAGAACAAATTGTGGAATTGATTAATTAACTCATGAAATTTACTCATTAGAGCTTTTTTTTTTTTTTGCTTTGGCTCTAACGGAAGAGCCCTGTTTAAGTGTTAAATGTAGTGTTTGTACGGCGTTAGCTTTTTAAAGCCAAAATCTGAGATGCACTGTCTTTGTTTACAGACTAGGTGTGTGGCTACAGGGTACGGCAGGTCCACTTCTTGGCCCTTAACGAATTACAATATGTTCCCTGAGGGTTATTCGCATTTTAATGGCTAGTTTTGAACAAAAGTCAAGGAAATAACGTTTTCAGGGGCCACAATGATGTAGCAGGCTGGATCGGCCCGCAGGCCTTGAGTTTGCAACCCATGATAAAGATAATGAGATGGTGACGTGTGCGAGCGTGTACCTGTGACAAGCTTGCGGGTCACATGGGGTCATGACACTTCTTGACGATAAATGCAATTATCCACACGTGCATTTTGAGTTGATATATTCACATGCGACATGAGCAGGTTTGATGTTTAACACATTACTTTTTTTTTTTGTTTTGTTGTTTTTGCACGCCGTCGCTACCTTGGCTTTGTTTGCTTCCCCCGTCTCACGTCGTCCTCTGCCTCCAAGTGGGCGATCAGTGTGAGCCGCTCCCGGATCTGTGCATGTGCTCACAGCCGGGACCTCCACCGTGCTACGCGGTCAAGTCCGCGGTCGTGAAGACGCAGTGCTTCCGGTCTTGTCTTTCGAAGTTGTCAAGACCGCGACTCAAATTGTGAGAAATGGTTGGAAAACGAGAGCTAGCAATTAAGGTAAACGTGATATGGAACACAAATAGATTGATGGAGTACATCATTCGGTGTTCTATTGTGATAACTTGAAACCTAAAACTGTGATAATAGTTTCAACAGAAACACGTGTTTTGTAGTAACTTCCAATGGGTGATTCTACTCATTCTTGAGGAACGTATTGTGGAAAACGGTTTGATTATGATTCACATTTACATAATGAAGCAGCGAACGTCTTTACATCTTATACCCCTCATAAAATAGTGATAATTTCAGGTCTGAGAATAACGTCTATAATGATAATCAATTCCTCTTGAAACCGCTCTGCAGCGTTTGTGCCTCTATGTAAATTGTCAATTCTTTATTTTGAAATTGGACTAAAATTAGTTTCCGGCAGCGGTGTCCTTGGTGCACGCAAACCGGTTTAGGCGTAAACTGCGCTGGAGTTTCGCATCACTTTGCGCATATCAACTCATGACCCGCTTCGTTAAATCGGTCCCTTACGTAACGTGGCAGCTGATTACTAACATTGTCATTTAGCACACATAACTCGAGCGAAGATGTTAAAACACCGGAGCAAGCCGTCATGCAGGCATTTGAAGCATTCCCAAAGCAGATCGTGTTCAATGCACTGTATTGTTGAGTGCTGATATCACTTTGGTAGGGTACTGCTTCTTGGGAATCTAAATTGAGCTAGAAGAGCATGGGAGGGGGGAGTGAGAGAGAGAGAGAGAGAGAGAGAGAGAGAGAGAGAGAGAGAGAGAGAGAAACGACAGCTGTGGAGCATAGTAGTTGGTGCTCTGAAAAACAATTTGGATTTAATTGGCACTGAGACTGCCCATAAAACACAAAAAACATAAACACTCAGTCTTAATAACAAGTCATTTCTAAACTATTTCAACAACAATTCTCTCAAAAAGCAGCTGCTACAACACGATGCCAGCCCAAGTTTTGGTGATGAAGAATCCACAAAAATTACTGTTAACTGCCACTGAGCTAAAATGCTCAAGAAAAATTAATTGGTGACTATGCTCCACCAAGATGTGGTGCCTAAAACAATATATTTTTGCACACTGATGCTATTTTGTCAAAGCCAAAAAAGAGTGAGGGTCAATCCATCCATTTTTTTTCCTACCGCTTCGCCTCAAGTTGAGGAGGACTGAGGGGCAGAAAATATTATTCTCCTAATAATGAAATATCCTGACGCAAGGTAACTATTTTTTAGCCCTCCAAAAGTGACGCTTTGACTTTACTGAATTTGTGTCGTCATCCGCATAAGTGTCTTTTTAAAATGTAATCACAAATTATAAGGTTGATCTAACTTTACATAACATGAAAAAATAGGGGGGAGGACAGCATTTTATTGGGTTAATGTCACTTTACATATACTTTAAAAAATAATATAAAATAAAATATAATTGTAGAAAACTGCGTGATGGAACAATATTAGGTAAAGCCAAAGTTTCATTTTGTTGCGTGTCTAAAGTTGTTTTGACATCACTGCATATCATAGGAGATTATATATACAGTACCACGTAAATATGGGCTGTGAGCATCAAGGGACGACATCAGAGCAATCTAACTCGATGCAGTGACATCATAGGTCTTCGGTCAATCTTGTGTGCTGTTGGCTGGAAAAAAACTGTGAAATATAGTTTAAGATGAATAATATGGAGGAAAAATTAAAATGTTTAGAAATGCTTGTCTTTCAGCATTCACACCGAGGCAAGTGTGCTATTTAACTACTTTAAAACTCGGAAAAGGCATTGAACATAAGTCTTTCAAAACTTAAAACTTAAACACCCCCCCTCCCTCCGAATATCACACAGTACTAATCAGTTGTGGGCCACATTTTGGTCACTAAAAGGTCCATTCTGAGAGGGATCATTGGCCGCCCATAACCTACAGAACTCTCCGACGAAGGGTTGGACCAGACGAGGCTCTTCGGTGACCAGGACGTTCTCAGAGTTGCACTGCACCGCCGCCAGCGTCCAGTTGAGGGAGCCTGTGATGAGGCGTCGGCCGTCCACCAGGGCGAACTTGTGATGCATGTGCACATAGCGGCCCACGTTGCGCACGCAGATCCCTGTGGAGGAGGAGGAGAGTGAGGAATGACAGAATTTCAATGTATTATGGATGAACTGGTCTGCTCTGGAAACAATCGGGGAGAACAAAGTTGGAAAAAGAAAGTGAAATGGTGATATCGATCCTACATACAGAACTCATTTGGCTGAGACTCCACACCCAGGAGTATAAAGGTACAGCTTGAGGGCCATCTGAATAAACTTGATATTTTACACTTGGGGTGAGAATGAAAACTGATCTGTTTTTGATCATGCAACATTTGAAGTGGGAAATTAACATCAGGTTTTAGTCACTACATCATCAATTAGAAAGGGAGATACTGTAATCTTGTCCAGTTAGGGATTACATATGTCGTACAGTGCTCAACATCGCCATGAAAATGTAAAACAGAACCTGTGGCCTCACAAAAAGAAAAAATATCACCACAAGAGCGCATTGCGGGAAAAGCAATCAGGTGAAATGCTGGCTCGCGGGGGAGTCTCCACCGAGTCTGGCTGTGTTGCGAGACGGACGTGCATGTGGCCGACTTGCTTGTCTGGCCTAAGAGAGGCTGAAATGCAACTATTTATTATGCTGGATGAAGGCCAAGAGCAGCTCCGCTCAGATCAGGCCGATTCAGTCAAAGGCGACCGTGCTCATGCAAGGGATTTATGTCGTGTTATTGTGATTATATTGCATTCAATGCGGTGTGTATTTGCAAGTGACTATTACACATGGCCCGCCTGAATGACAGCTTTTTCTGTGTAGATGTGTGTTCATGAATGTTTCTGGGGTATCTTGTTGATTACCACCGGTCCTCCCCTCCGCCCAAATGATGAATTACTCTCTGAGCGATTGATCCAAAATTTAAGATAACACTGGAAACTGCAGTGGGCTCTTCTCTCAACAAGCTGCTACTTGACCCCGAAAAGGCCCTTTAAATATTCACTCTCGCTTGTCCCGTCACAAAACCTCCACAAAAGTGTAGTATTTCATCCATCCATTTTCCGATCCGCTTATCCTCACAAGGGTTGCAGGGGGTGCTGGAGCCTATCCCAGCTGTCTTCGGGCAGTAGGCGGGGGACACCCTGAACCAGTTGCCAGCCATCGCAGGGGACACACAGACGAACAACCATCCGCGCTCACACTCACACCTAGGGACAATTTTGAGTGTTCAATCAGCCTGCCATGCATGTTTTTGGAATGTGGGAGGAGACCGGAGTACCTGGAAAAAACCCACGCAGGCCCGGGGAGAACATGCAAATTCCACACAGGGAGGCCGGAGCCGGAATCGAATCCATGATCTCTGCACCGTGAGGTCGACGCGCTAACCACTGGATCACCAGGCCGCCCTGAAGTATTTCAATCGGTGTCAATTATACATACAGTGAGGTCGACGCGCTAACCACTGGATCACCAGGCCGCAATCGGTGTCAATTATACATAGACGTTTGCTATTCGTAAGACTAGCCTGGTCCCTATCCCGCCAGCAAATAGCGAGGGTCAACTGGATATGGACACCAGCTCATCATTTCTCGTATTTGTTTTCATTCGCCAGCTAACGAGCTAACGTACCTTAAGTACCAAACTTCCGGGTCACGCAAACCTGACCAATATTATTATTACATATTAATACATATTTACATCAAATTCAGTAAAGTGGCTTGTTTTCCCATTTATATTTCTGATAGGAGCCTAAAATTGAATTAAAAAAAAGCTGTTATTTTTTTTCAAGTTTTTGTGTGAGATGAAAATCAAACGACAAAAATAACCAGTCTATTTTTCATATTTTTACCTTAGTTTGCCAAATAATCGTGGACAGAATGAAAGATAGGCTGTTTTTTTTAAAGGTTACTAGAAGAACAGAAATGGATTGATGTTTAGCAGCGCATGTGCTCGTGCCACTGAGTCAGCTACTTAAGCATGAAAGCACCATGCAGGACAAAGACAAGACACAACGGCTGGACTGAAGTGCTCAACATCCTCACCACACACACGCACGCACGCACGCACGCACGCACGCACGCACGCACACACACACACACACACACACACACACACACACACACACACACACACACACACACACACACACAAACACTTGGCCTAATGAAATCTGCCGTCCACGTTGCCAATTTCTTACTTACTTAATCCTTACTTAACAATACAAAGCAGTGGCAATTCAGCAAATGTGGAAGGCTGAAAGAGAAAGAAAGATAGCGAGCGGGAGACAGAACACACAAAGCCTTTCACGGTGTGAGAGTCCATTAGGTCAGACAGCTGCTGTCATCCCGCCATTCGCCCCAGAACAACTACCCAGGAGAGACTTCTTGGCATTGATGCCGCTAGTCGAAGAACGGAGCAAGCACCTTCCATTGAGAATGACCCGAGTCATTTCCGGTCGACTCTGCCGGTTGCTCTACAAAATCACCCCTGAGTGAGCTTGATGTCTTTTTATCTATTTAAAAACTCGTAGAAAGGGTTCTGTCAGTCGTCATCTGTACCTGTGGGTAAAAAACAAAAAAAAAAACAAAAAAAAACAAAAAAGGACGTTTCGCTTCTCTCACAGAAGCTTCGTCAGCGGTAGACAAAAGTAGCTATTCAGCCTTAGCCCAAACAATAGGCCTAATCAAGACCCAATGATAGGGAGTTTAGAAACCAATGGGCCTCTTCACCATAGGGGCGTGACTAACCATCCCCACCCAGTCCTCAAACAGGCCACGCTCAGCCTTTTAGCGCAGAGCAACTTCCCGGAGTCTTCACGGAGACTTCAGGGTTGTCTACCGCTGACGAAGCTTCTGTGAGAGAAGCGAAACGTCCTTTTTTGTTTTTTGGTTTTTGTTTTTGTTTTTTACCCACAGGTACAGATGACGACTGACAGAACCCTTTCTACGATGGAACTTTCCTGTACGACTGAGAGCCTCCACAAGCATCTATTTAAAAACTGGAACCTTTCAACTTGACTGGCCCCCAAAATCATCAATTTTAAGCCAGCAACTGGAGCTGGGAGCTATGGATAAAAACGTCATATCCCGATATTCATGCCAGATATTCCGACGCTGATCCGATAACGATATTACGATGCATTCATTGAAAAACCAAGCTTTTTTTTGTTTGGTTTTTTTGAGAAAAAGCAAACTATCAATCCAAAAGAATGTGGGAAGTACAGCGTTACAATTAGAACTTAATGGCAGTCAAGAACAACATTAGCGGCAATAAATAAAAAAGAAGTAAATTCAACCTCGTACTGCAACTGTGCTTTAACAATAAATAATTACTGTCCATGCTACAAGTGAAGTGTTTGTTCTGTTTGTCTGCATGTGTGTCGTTTCATACCTCCATGCATGTGTGGCATGACACAGTACAGTACTTAAGTGCGACGGCCCGCCGCACAGGGCACGATGCTTCTGAACTCGAAAATTACAGTTGGCCACTCACCAGCACTCACACCATAATGTGTGCATAGTCTCGCTTTTTTTAACCCACAAAAAGATGTCAGTCAAGGAGCATACAGGTTGCAAAAATACTACATGGGAGATAATGATGACAAAAGTGTGGGTATTATGAAAGGCGAGGCTCGCTTCCATTCAGTTGAATGGACCTCGTACATTTTTACCGCAAGCTTCTATCGTATCCCCAAGTGATTTCGTAGACATTATTCACATGCTACCACACTGGATTCACTTACCCGCCTTGCGCAGGGCTCCAACCTGGGAGCCAGTGATGACAGAGTATTCTTTGTCCACCAGGACTCGAACGGTGATCTTCCTTCTGTACAGGTACAGAACAGCCCTGCATAGGTCCATGTTGGAAAAAGAAAACAAACACAAGTCCAGAGAGGAGGACGCTGACAGGATGAAGCGGAGAAGACGGGTGAAGGACGTCTCTACACCATGAGGCAATGGGCAGCAACAGGAGCTGAAAGCACACAAAAAAATAGCAACTGTTGTTATTTTAATCTACATGGTCTTCAGTTTCTATTTATTTTATTGTATTCTCATGTTGTTGTCATTTTTTTCTAAATGAGCTTTGATTTGATTGTCATGGTTTTCAGTTCCTCGTTACCGTATCATATCTACAATGCATGAGCTTCATTTCCTTGTGATTTTAGCTTTGAGCTTTTTTGTTGTTGTTGTTCATTTGCATGATGGCAGATCAAATTCTTTTGCAATGCATAAAGTATAAGGCCCAGGGGCTTTAGGTTTCCCACCCCTGCTGTAGGTAACTCTGCACAAAAGCTGTGACATTGCAGTGTTAATAGCAAAACAATCAAGGTTATATCCATGTAAGTTGCTGTCACGCAGAGCAGTCCAAACAATTGCAAGACTCCGTTGATGATATATTTCTTTCTACCATTCGCCTATCGTCACTTCTTCTCCTCAAGGACGTCATGCCAGCTGAAAAGACTGAAAAGCAAACGTGTTTATTAAAACACAAAAGGACTGTTGAACACAAAGCTCCCTCTCGCACTGTTTTGCCGTGCATCACAGCAGCTTCATTATGTTCAACACAAAGAGTCGCTCACTTGGGTGAAGCAGGAGAGAAGATGTGCTCCATGCAGGCCACCTCCGAGGGAAAGAAGAGGACCTCATTCAGGGTTTTAGGCGGCTTGAGGCGCCGCAGGAGCCGCCACAGCAGTTCCACACTGAGGGAAAAGGCCACGACTCCCAGGCCCACCACCTTCACTGTCCACATCACTGACATCCCTGCTGTGACAACACAGCGGTTGCTCACATGACTGTACTTTTGAATGAATCAACAGTGTGTTATTGCGTTGACTAGAATACCGAATGTGCAAACTGATAGGACAAGTAACTTTTTTACATAAACAGTTTTTACCTCCTCTATGAATGAGGCCAAACAAAAAAGATAGTGTGTTTCCGGTAACATGAAATTTCAGCATAGGGTCGGTAGGTCGGACAAAGTTTTTTTTTTTTAAATCTTTTTTTTTTTCCATTAAAATTTTAAACAAAATTACCATGAAACATAAAACAAGAAGACATTGAACCCACCGCTCGGCGGCCGGCGCCGCCGGCCGATTTAGTTTTCTCCCGACTCCGGACTCGGGGGGCCGGGGCGTGCCGCCGCCTCCGCCGTCCTCCTCCGCTGTCCTCCTCTGCCGTCCTCCTCCGCCCTCGGTTTTTACTCGGCCCATGGTGTTCATCAAATCGTTCGCTTTATTTTTTCGATACATCAATGGATGCTATTTTCTTAACATTACGGTGCGAGCACGCGACTCTAACACAAAAAACGCAGTTTACCCTGTCGCCGGGGATCGCGGCCGCCGCCATGTTTCAATGTTGTTGACAGACGACAGGGCAAACGACGCACCCGCTCAACGTGAATATCGCGAGAGTTTGCACCGATGTAAACTCTCTACACAAAAATGTAGAGGGTTGTTTGAAAAAAATGCGGACCGTAAAGTTTTTTTTTGACGTAGAAATTCTCGGTCGGTCAGGTTACCGGAAACACACTACTTTTTTTTCTACGCCTGACCTGGCCCAGCTGTCCATTTTAAAAATCGAATGTGACCAGTACGCACTACAGTGTGCCCAACCGTAGCTTTCTGAAAAAAGTTCCTGTATGCAGTTCAAAGCAGTCTGGAGCACGATGCATTTTTTTTTTTTCAAAGTTGGAAGGAAATTGCTGTACCCCCGGGGTGTCAAATTAATTTTTGTCGAATCATCACATAGTATTATTGTCCAAAACAAATTGATGGATTACTAGTTTTGAAATCAGTCAACTATTTGTTTATTATTTGTTCACTTATTGTTCAAGTGAGTGTAAACAGTGTCAGAAAATTATTGCAAAATCTCAACGTTATTTAGTACACATGACAATTTGACATTTCTGTACAGAATATAGAAAAGATCATGGAAGTTGACACACATGATCTGCTTTCGCGGGCCACCTCAAATGATGTGGCGGGCCAGATGTGGCCCCCGGGCCTTGAGTTTGACACATGTGCCGTACCTAGACAAAACCAATACAAACACGGGCAGAACGTGTAAACTCCTCTGTCTCTCTCATATGTAAAATGATTTATTATTTCGGGAGTTTGAGAGAAGTTTACTTAAAGTAATAAGATGGTTGTTTCCTCCCAATGTAACACTATGTCTTAATTGAGAGTAAATATATGTTTTTGTCAGTTTAGAACCTTTGGTCACGTTTGAGAGACTTCGTAAGTGAGTGAAACGATTACTTCTGAGAAGTCCTAAAAAAACAGACAACCTTTAGAGATTGCTAACCTACTTTAGCTAGATATCGTGTCAACTTCGGCTCACCTTAGTTCGTGACTTGAGGGACAGTAATATAAAAGTTATATTTATTCTTGAACACGTAAATTCAGTCGATAAATCGTCTGCGTTGAGCTAAAGTGGAGTTAGGCAAACCTGTAGCTTCTGACGTCATCACGCGGGCAAGTCAATCCGTTTACGTCAGTGCTAATCCACATGACAGACGTACGTACGAGCCAATGAATGGCCGTAAAGTGACTCGAGTTCATCCAATCATTTCATCATGAATGCTGCCATGCCGAGTCTTGCGGAAGTAAATATCCTTGCAACGTGTCTTTCCTCTTTCCGAGCAAAGGTAAACAAGAGCTAACTGTAAGCTCCTTAGGTTATTTTGATTCTCTTGACTCCTAATTGACGATTAGTGCGCAATCGTAAATGGTGTACCTTACTGGACGTTATTGTTGCATTGGGAGTTAAAAACAAACATGCCAATGTTCAATTGCTAACTTACCAGAAAGTTTGGGGCATCGATAGTGTAATCGCAGTGTTCTGTTCTCGTCCCTCATTGTTTTTGATTTATCCCCTGTGCTATAAAACAGCGACAGAACATTTTCGAACGATGGGTCGCCGCAAGTCCAAACGAAAACCCCCTCCTAAGAAGAAGATGACCGGGGATCTAGACACTCAATTCACCTGCCCCTTCTGCAACCACGAGAAGTCATGTGACGTCAAAATGTAAGTCTTCGCTTTTTTTCAAGGCTATCGCTCCTTTTTATAGACTTGTTGCTAACGACTCTTTACCCCCACGACAGGGAGAGAACCAGAAATACTGGGATAATATCTTGTACGGTCTGTTTGGAGGAGTTCCAGACGCCTATTACTTGTATCCTTCTCCATGCAATGCATTTGTCTCCCTGCTGTTTTTCACGTCAGCCACACAGTTCTGAGGTTCTGGGTTTGAGTCTTCATTCCTGCTTTTTCTGTGTGCAGTCCGCGGCGGAATCTCTTGCACCTCCAAAATCGTCACTTTTCTGCAGTGCCCCCGCCCCCTCAAAAAAAATTGCATGTTTGTTCAACCATTAATATTGCATAATCAAAGACAGTGTGACATGTGACTGTTAATTGTTTGTGTTGCACTGTGGTCCATAAGAATACGCATGCTTAGATTGTCCTGTTATGTTTTTTTAACAATAAGCTTGGGACACTTCCATTAGGTTTACGACATCATCCATTTACTGGAAGCTTTCAGCGTGATCTTCTGGCCCCGGTGTTTAACCGCTGATTTATTAGCACATCATAACTCCCTGTGCTTTTTGGTCTTTGTACCGCTCCTAATTGAGCATTCGGCGCCTCCCTCCTACGTGCTCAGACAGCCGATGTAGCGTCGGAGGTTATTGACGCTTTGGCGTGGTCAGCGTCAGGAAGGGATGTGAAGTGTAGCAGCTGACAGAAAACCGGAGAAAGTCCTTCAGGTGTGAAATTTTTGTTCACGATGTCAACAAAGACACACGTTATTAAGTGTTTACATGACAACAGAATGACATCAGTTGAGAGCGACAACAAGTAAGATATAATATTGCAAGAAGAAGCATTGCAGTTTTACCCGTATAAAGTTGTAAATGTATGGGTAATAAATTAGCATTTTAGAAATTAAAGTTGGATGAATGAAGTCATCATATTTGAAAGTGATAAATGTAACACTTGAAGTAAAAGCTCTCACATCAGCTATTCAAGGCACCCTGTGCCTTTTTTTCCAACAAACCTTCGACGTCTTTCAAGTAATGTGGCCATTTTATCTTTCCAATATTACAACTTCATTTGAACTTTTTTTTCAGGATGTTTTATTATTATACGACTTAAAGTTTTTATTTTCTTATTTTCCTAAAAAGTTAAGACAATTGTCTTTTTGCTTTGCAACTATTCACATAAAAATTGCAAATTTTCTAAAATGAAAACATTCATAAGTTACGTGACAACTTCATTCTGATGAACTCACCTTTCTCAAATAATATTAAGACTGCCTCATAAATTACGACTCTATTGATTCTACCACGACCCAATACTTGTTTTTTGTAATATTACTTTTTTTTTCTCATTAAAAAAAATACGTGTCTTCAAATTATGAATAAATCTTGTCTGAAATTGAGCGCCACTGTCACTTTTTACCTATTGAGTTCCAAAGTGAATTTCGAATGCAAATAATATCATGCAACCGAGTCTTTCTCCTTGACCCTTCTCTCTCCAGATCTGTCAGAGCCAGTAGACGTGTACAGTGATTGGATAGACGCTTGTGAATCGGCCAATCAGTAGCCTCGGAGGAGGAGGAGCAAAAAATAAATTTTTTTAAACACATAGATTTTTTTTTCTCTAGTTTTTATTTGTTTTTGGCTTTACTTTAGCTGTGTAGATTTTTTTAATGCCTGCAAGAATCCACTGTTGACAAAATGTGATTGCGCGCATGTGTGTGGCCCGAGACAGAAACTACGGACGGCGACCTCTTCGTTGGGAAAACCTGCACGATTGAAGATCCGATGGGAAATTCAATGTCAGTTCATGGCTGACAATATTGGGCAGCACAGTGATTAGCAATGAACATACTTGCTTCGCAGCGGTGAGGATTGGGGTTGGAATCGCACACGTTCTTTCTCCCACGGTCTAAGAACATGCATGTTCGAGTCATTCCACAATCTGAATTGCACATTGAGGTGAATGATGACAAGCGCCCTGCGATTGACAGGTGACCAGTGCAGTGGCCTCTCTCCCGAGGTCAGCTGGGCAAGATATAGTGCATTTCCATAAAAATTATAATAATAAATGTATTGTTAAAAAAACAACAACTGAAACTAATGGCTGCTTTTATCCTTTTTCCCTCCAAATTTGAATATGGATCATGTTTATGATGTGTGTATCTGTAAGGGGTGTGTGTGCAGTTCTCCAATAAAAGACAATTTGATACATATGATGTGCGATACGTTTCAAGGACGGTTCTTTTTAAAGTGGAGTCGATTCAGTTTGATTAAGTGGTGTTTTGATTCAATAAGGTACGAATGTGCTAGAGCAGTGGTTCTTAACCTTGTTCGAGGTACCGAACCCAACTAGTTCATATGCACATTCACCGAACCCTTCATTAGAGAAAAACTAAAATGTCGCTTTTTATAAATTCAAGACATTTCTTAAAAAAATGAATAAAAGTAAATACAATTTCAAGACATGGTTTTCAGGGGTTCGACGGAGCCTCTGCCACGGAGGTTAAGACACACGCGACTCAACATGTTAATTAGTTATGCCACGCGCGCTTGGCCATCACTGGCTGCAGATGATCACACGACATTGCTTGTCCAATCAGTGCTGTGGGAAATTCAGTTCGCTTAGTAGTCGTGTGACTGTCGTGGTAGTACGTAGTACAATTTTTTTTAAAAAGTATACTTGTCTCTTGAAATTGTATTTACTTTTTTCTGTTTTTAATAAATGTGTTTTTTTTAATATCCTGAATTTGTAAAAAAAAATATATATATTTCACTCATGAAGGGTTCGGTGCCTCTAAAAAGGTTAAGAATCACTGTTCTAGAGGCTATATAATGCAATGAGAAGGCATGAAATTCACTCACCTTTTGGCAAAATTTGCCATTTTGAAACCAAAAAGGGTGACCTGCCTGAATGGTAGAAATCCAATGAGAAAATAATTTTGGGTGGTGTGGAATTCATATTATTTGGCATTGAATCTTGAGAACTGATTTGAACCGGGACTAACATTTCAATTCCCCAGGTGTCGTTCTCATTTAAAACTTTCCATTCCCCATTTCGGTGGCTCAAATCAAAAGAGGCAAAGTGCTGCTTTGACATCTTTCATTTAACCCTAAACCAGGGGTCACCAACTGCGGTCCTCGAGAACCCCTATCCTGCATGTTTTAGATTTAGATTCAAATGATGAGCTCATCAGCAAGCACTGCAGAAGCCTGATCATGATCCTAGCGGGCATTCTCGAGACCCAATTTGGATACAAACATTAAAAAGGTGACAATATCGCAACGATAAGCTTCTCCTCGCACTCATTTATAAGCGTCTGTTATTCTTTAGGAATAATAATAACTGAGATTTATATTGAGGCTGTGAAGACACCCAAGGACGCTTAAGTGTCGAAAATCGAGACAGTTGTGCCCGAGGGTGTACCCCCTATGCTGTGCGATGTGTGTCAGTCCATCCCATTTGTTTTGCATAATGCTTCCAATATTCATGTGAAAATAACATGCAACCAAGGACACAACAGCAATCGGCTCACGTTGAACGCATTAGGTTCACAATGGGCGTTATTAAATCTCTGGAAAATTTTTCGTCCAATGATCGTTTTTTTTTTTTTAATGCAGGACTACTATATAAGTGCCAGTGCTCAGCCAATAGAAGGGTCCCTTTAAAGGGTTATTGTTCTTATTCCTGAGGGCTCTCATGGGCAAATGATTTTGTTTACCTTCTGGTAAGAAATTGCTATTTATTACAGCAGGTTCCGTTTCACAGAGCGGTTTATTTGAATGTTTTTTTTTTTCCACCATTGCATCGAAATCTATCTTTCACGGCTTGGGAATTTGTTGCACTGTTGGCGGTTGGCGCAGAAGTTGAATCTGTGACTACAAGAGCAATGTTTTGAACTGGCTACCTGGACGAGGATGAGAGAGTGTTGCGATAAACGCTAGTTTCCAGCGCTTTCGCAGGGAATCACAGAAAAAAAATCGTCCAAGAGTCTTCATTTGAAAAGACCACCACCTCAATGTTGAACCTAAAAGTAATACAAACTGAACTTGAAGAATAATTAAAAATCAAACCCACTCAAAAAATTGATTGAAACAACAAATTTAAAAAAAAACCCAAATCAAAGCGAAATAAAAATTCATTAAAATCAAGCATTTTAGGAAACGGTTGGGTGTAAAGGGCGCATTTGTCCCTCTCTACTCCGATCCCCCACACACTGGCAAAATCCAAGCGCTCCACATGCCAATAGGGAAATAAAGCATCGATTTTGCGTCGCTGTTACTATTTTTAGCTGGAGTGATGGATGTTTATGTCTTTTATTGATCAAGTCGAGGTGCGGGTCGCCCGGCGTGCTGAGTAATCAGGAGCCCGCCACCCAATTGGAAGAAGACATCTGAGCTCCATTAGCATTGTTGCTCAGAGATATAAACGAGCGGGCGTTTTTCGCTGCGCATTCAGCAATATATTAGCATCTGTGCCCGTAATAAATGGCACTCATATCACTTAATGTTGCATGAGTTTTAACCACTGCGTGAGCACGGCACACATTTCGTCACAGCAGAATGCAATTAAGGATTTTAATGAGAAATTCCACTCTGGTGCGGTGTAAACTTGTTGATTGGGCAGAGCTGTGGGCGCACTTTTGTTTGGGGTTGTCTGTGTGTGTGTGTGTGTGTGTGTGTGTGTGTGTGTGTGTGTGTGTGTGTGTGTGTGTGTGTGTGTGTGTGTGCTAAGCAACAAAATGACTATTGTGAGCACAGCTCCAGGTGCCTAGCGACCACATCGCTGTTTCCTTGGCAACAGTTGCCTCGCAGTCACTGTGTGGGTGATTGGCAGACTTGACAACGTACACAGAGTGACCCCTGACCCCACGTGCTGAGTGAGAGAGGATAAAGAGCAATGGGGGGCAGGGCGGGCACACACACACACACACACACACACACACACACACACACACACACACACACACACACACACACAGGGGAGGAGAGGCTAAGTGATAATCATTCTCCATTGTGGTCGTCCTCCAGCATGTTTCATAAGGTGTCGTCAATAGTGCTCCAGCTGGGCTCTGTCATCAAACACAACACACGCACACACGGGCGACCACTCCACAGCTCATTTATTGTTACAGGCTACTTGTGTTACCGTCTGTGTACTGCGGCCATGAATGGAAAATGTGATGGGAGTAGAAATGGTTTTGTATTGTGAATTACCAGGAACATTTTGGATTTGTCGTCCAGTTGATTACAATCTGTTCAGGGCTCCGTAACTGGGTTATCTGTTGTCCATTAGATCAGCAGGTTGAACTCAGAAAATAATCGGTGCCATTTCCTGCTACTGTTTTAATTTGCATCGGTTTCTATTTATTTTCTTGGTTATCTAAATGGAGCATGTAGCTCATTAATAGAGAAAAAAACCCAAAGTAATTTAAGTCAAAATGGAAGTGGAGGGCGGCAGGGGCAAATTAGATTTTTAAATTGTAGAAACGGGCCAGGTCATTTTTTGTTGACATAAAATTATGTCAACTCATTTGTTCAAGAAATAATGAATAAATAGTAATCAAATACAAGTAATATATATTTTAATTGAATTAATTAATACATTAGTGCCTTGAGATATTTTGCTTTGACTTGCAAGTGGGGCGGCCCGGTGATCGAGTGGTTAGCACATCGACCTGACAATGCAGACGTGCAGGGTTCGATTGCGGCTCCAGCCTCCCTGTGTGGAGTTTGCATGTTCTCCCCGGGCCCGCGTGCGTTTTCTCCGGGTTCTCCGGTTTCCTCCCACACTCCATAAACATGCGTGGCAGGTTAATGGAACACTCTAAATTGTCCCTAGGTGTGAGTGTGAGTGCGGATGGTTGTTCGTCTATGTGTGCCCTAATGGTGCTTAAGAACCAGCCCATCCTGGAGAGAGAAGTACCCTTTGCCTGGAGCCCAGTTAAAAGAATATATATATTTATAAAAGACCACACAAGTCCAATGGGTGTGCAGACTTTTTATATTCACAGTAGCATCCCTTTACCTCCTTTTTAAATAGTCTTACTAACTGTGTGAATGGAAATTGATACCTAATATAAATGGTCGGGTTCCGTTTTTAGTTAGATTCTAGTAGACTTTAATTTTGGCAACACAAACCGGAAGTACGTATCCAGTGAAGATCGCATGGTTTCGTGCTAACTGTAGTCCTCGTTTCTTGTTTTCTTCTTGAGTATATGCCTTGGAAAGCATCGTCTGTGAGTTGAATCCTGTTTAGATTGCACTTACATGATGTCAACACAAACATTTGCTTCAGTTCTAGTATTGGCAATATGCAATATTAGGGACGATTTTCTGTCCATTTTTGCTATGCCACATTAGCGTTTGGGCTATCCATATTAGCATATGGGCTACTGCATGCTAGTTGCAGCTATTTTCAATGCTAAGCATGCATATTTTGGTTATCTCTGTTCTACGCCTATATTGCGTTTTGACATTATTATTGGAAGATAATCCACTATTTTGTGAAGAGTGAACCACAAAGCACTATTTGTTAATTAATTTCGTAGTTATTTAGACGTGTGTATAGGCACACATTTCATCAGCCTTGGTTATTGAGCTGTGCACACAGTCACAACCGCAGTTACATTAAGAAACTGGCGTCTATATACACTGTTATTTGCAAACGGCTTTACAATTAATGTATATTTTCTATATTTTCTGCTGCATTTATTGTACAGTAAGCTAAGCTTATACAAGTTCACATTACAATGTACAGTAATGACACGGAGACATTTATTTTGAACAGTGTTTAATGAAACATCCCCCTTTTGTGTTTCTGTTTCTCTGTACAGTTTTACAACATAAGGAAAAAGATTCTTGGTCTTTTTTTATTGTTCGCTATCTGTCTATCTGTTCACGTCTTCGGACACGGACAAGTAGGGCAGAATATAAATACATCTACGACTGTTTTTCTTGCTAATTGAATCATTTTGACGATGGGTGCCATTTTTTGAGGTGGGGGTTGGGGGGAGGCGGCTTAAGCACTCGCCCCCATAAATCTCTGTGCACATGCCTGCAAATAAGTCAGAAAATTAAATTGATAATCACTGTAGAGAAGAAAAAATGGAACCATAGTAAGATTACTCACCCTTGTGTAGTGTGTAAAGGAAAAGAAGAGGGAGGCTAAAGGCTGTCCTCTTCATGCATCAACATTTGTCTTACAGGAGTGAAAAGAAGGTCGCTGCCTTATCATAAAATGTAAACGACAATAACCATAAAGAGACTAAACACAGCTGACATTGTGATGTCGATTCTGTTCGAATCATTTTATTACTCATGCAGCTTAGCAGTATTGTATTGAGCAGCCATGTACCTTTCTCTGTTGTCTTGACGCATCAGCCCATGTATGTAGTGTGACATACTCACCGAGTGGTTGTGAGAGGTGCACAGCATCGTGTGAAAGGCTCTCTTTCAACATGACAACCCAAAGTGTTTGCACGTGAATGACCATTACATTAAATTGCTAAGCAATCAGTCAACAAAGCCTTTCTAGGCAGTGTATCGATGTCATTGTCTTTGCTTCACTGTTGCCCTCTGACACTGTCCTAGCAAAGAGTCTGCAAATTTGGATGTTGAACTGGGGGAACAAACCCTCCCAGGTCAGCTTAGTGCTAGCTACCGGGTACAACAGAATACGGATAGATTTTAAACTTTACCAAAAGAGGAAAAAACAGCCCGGGTAAGTCCATTGGCCAGTGTATGGTGAGGGATTCTGGAGGCTGAACTAAGTTATTTTAAACTAGCTTTTCCATCAGTTGACACGGTTTCATTAGTGCATCGGCTGAGTACAGTCTTGGTAAATGACGATATGCTTTCAAAAACGTCAATATGAGGCTTGGTAAATAATTTTGGACAAAATAGAATGCCGTTTTTGTGCAAAATCCTACTCCATTCATGCAAAAACAGGCCATCTGAGCTGCTCACCAATAATAGGCTTACAGTCTCTCTCTCACTGTCTCTCCTGGAGGGCACAAGTGACTGAGTAGTCGAAGGTTTGTAATGAACGTGTGACTGGAGCGTTCATCTCTCTGAACTAATAAACCCTGTGGGGAGTTGAGCTTAGTGTTAGGAGGTCGTCGCCGGCAGCGCCTCTCGCAGGAGATGCGCGCAAACTCATTTCCTCTACAGGTGCTAAGAGGGACACGCTTCATAAACCTGGAATGGTGAACCAACACACACACACACACACACACACAAACAGCATTTAAGGGAGGCGGTTTGACTACGATCTGGATTGCGTCATGTTCAAAACTTACCCGCGAGTGTGCCTTTTTTTATTCCGAAGGACCTTTGGTTGACAAAGCCTCCACTCGACTACGCGTATTCTTAAGCAATAACATCCACATCTGTATTATCAACCCAAGAATACACGTGGTCGAGAGTGGAGCCAAGAGGCCCTCGCCCTCATCCTCTTCATCCTCATCCTCTTTTGTGTTGTTGTAAGCAGACAGCACCTATGGGAGGGCACAGAAAAGAGGTAACGTTCACCCTTGAATAACAACGCGCTTTCCTTTCATCATGCGCATTCAGAGCCCAGAAATGTGAGAGCATTTTTTTTTTTTTTAACCCTAACATAAACACATTCAAGTGACAAAATCTTTTTGTACTGCAGTTAAGGAGGGCAGAGAGGTGCTCTTCCATTATCAAATAGATGTCGCTGTGTGTTACACACCGCAGTACAAACATATTCTTCCTCCCCACCCCATCATTGACTTTGCTGCCCCAGGCTCATCCCGTGGAGAATAATGTTGGTACACATTTGCCAATTAGAGAGCAGGACGTGTCAATCTGGCAGCATACGGTGGATGAATGAAAGGGGGGGAGGGAGGCGGGGATTGACGGGGTGTTGCATCAGAACCAAGGAGAGCTCCTGGCATAAAAACTGGTTGACAAACATTACTGATTTTGTTTCTTTCGCCCTTCCACCGCATTAACCTTGCCGCAGTTTACTCTCTTCGCCAGCTCAGGTGGTGCCTTCAGATACGAGTTGAAGTGAAATGAACGGAAATGCCGTTCATCTGTTTCAGTTTTTCCCGAGGGAAAAAAAAATGCTGGACTGTCTATTTAGCATATTGTACTTGACATATGTGACAATGACACAAGTAAATAGAATTAAAAACACTGTCATGGCCTTTGTGCTGCTGTTTGCCAATAGGGAAATACACAGCTGAGCTGTGCTCGACTTGGCCACTTAGGGGCGGTAAAAATCAGACAGACAGTCAGATTAACTGTTAATTGAGATTTCACATCTCCTCTCACTTCATCGGTATGGCACTATTTGTCATTCTTCACAGAGGATGAAGAATAGTTGACTTTGAGGATTGCCTATTTTCTGTCTACATATGTTGCTGCACAGTTTGTGTTCAATCCATCACTAAAAGGGTTGTTGTACCGCAACATAGATGGTATTTAACGTTAGCAGTAAGTTAACAGGGTAAATGGCGAAGGGGAATTATTTCCAAGGGGAAAAGTTGAAATTTGGATTTGAAAAATATCCCTTGTACCACCCATCCTGGAACATTTGTGACACTCGTATATAAAAAATAAAAAAAATCACACGCCACCAAACAAAAATGTCACAAAAAATACATTCATTTGTTTTGAAATCAAGTAATCAAAATTAATTTACTTTTTGAAATGCCATTAATGCATTCCAGTCACCCAACCACCTGTTTTGGTTATGTGTTTTTACAAAGCACTGTATTGCATTCAAAAAACAATAGCAGAAAATAAAGTAGTTTTATAAAGTGTAATTACTGTACACTGGGACTAGCCAAGTCACGACAACCAATTCAAAAACCAGGAGTGGATTGAATCATTTGGAGTCCCAAAGCAAACCTAGTCATGGGTCTCACCAAGTCTGTGCCCTGCCAAGATTTGAATATGAAGTTTGATCAACTAAAGACTGTAAATTAACAAATGTATGTCCTTTTTCTTCACCCAGATCAAGTGCTTAAAATTCCTCTTGCAAATTATGTAACAAGTGAATCATCTCACCACTTTTATTGTCATTGTTAAGAACATTAATCAACATTTAGTACCCTCGAACATTTGATACTCTCATCTCAGTGATAAAAAGCCGCTCTCCACTTCAACTCTGCTGCATCCGGCTTGGCCGACACTGACAGCAGTGCTACTGCTCCTGTCAAGAGTGTCTGGCTCTGCACAATCTATGTCATTGTGAAAATGGGTGAGGACTTTTTTTTTGGTTTTGTTTTATTGATTAAAACAGTTTGTTGTTATTTTAACTCAGCTTCATTGTCCTCGAAATGAGTCAACAGGTTTGTTTCGCTAGCCTCGCTAGCCTACCATACATCGCTAAATTAAAAAAAAAAAATATATATATATATATGAAAATAAAGCAGGGCGAGGCGTTAATAGAGCAGGGCGGACACACACAGCTGGAGATGAATGAGGTACAATGGGCTTCATGTGCAGTACTAAGATGCTTGGGCAAGGGGGAGCAGGACACAAGGTCATTAGGAGGGTGGTTTCACCATCACCCCTAAACATCGGGAGTTGGTTCCCCTCTCCACAAGCAGAGCACTTCAACCCAAGAGCGAGTGACCTGAGAGAGAAGATCATTAAATCCTGGGCGAACTCAACTACCTCCTGCTTGCCAAGGCCAAAGAAAGAAGTACAGTACTTTCAGAATCACGACTGAATGATGTCAACACAGTGCTGACAAGTACCCACACCGAGTAAAACAGAGTAGATATTGAAGAACCTTGGACGGATAAGCAGTTTGGATAATGGATGAATATATGAATATATATATATATCAGGCAATGCAGCTGTGTCTTATGGAAAGCCTGTTTAGCCTAAAACTATTGACCTTCTCCCGGTTAGCATTGCTAGTTGCAGTTTTTGGAAGCAACGCATATATGCAAATCAGCGGGCTCCGGACAAGATGAATTCACAGGGTTTTATAAACTCACTAACACAGCGATAATTTAGCTTACAGGCAAGGTGAGTAAAGAAAGAATTGAACTGAGACATCACTTGATTGTTCTGCTGTGATCTTGACAATACATAGCTAATGCTAATGCTAAATGAGAAAAGAACGTTTTGTTGAATGCATATACAGCAGTACAGTATAAACCACTACACCACATTTCACATTAATCAATACAATAATATTCTTCATCAAAATGATAATTCAAAATAATGAGTCACCATGTGTGTTATACTTTCTCCTTCAATTGTGCTGCTCATTCTGATGTGTGCACCTTGGCCACCTGGAGGCAGATGGATATATTGCACTGGAGACTCAACTCTTCTCTTGCTTTTCCCAGCAGAGCAGTCATATTTGATGTTCTTTGCAGAGGATAAAGGATATATGTATGTGAACCTTGCTGTATGATCTGTCTCCTTGTGTTGCAGGACCATTCCTGTTCAGACACCCTTTACATACAGGGCAACAACACCGCCACATACAGGTAGATGCTAATTGCTAGCTCTGTGCCTATGGAGCTTCCAATTGTATGTTAGCATTCTGCTAGCAGAAGCTATGTGATTTCTTGAAACCCACAAAGTGTAGTTCTCATTGTTTGATGTTAAGTTTGACAGTAACCTTCAGCTGAGGGTGGTTTAAAGCCTCTTTTTGAAAAAAATATCGACAGTTTATATCTTGCAAACTGCCACTGTCTGACACGGAAAAACAGTCCCACACATCCAGTGAAGAATCTTCTGTTACTCATTATGAGGAATCTCACTCACTGTCCTTGTCTGTTCCCCTAACAAGTTAAAAAGAATGTCTTGTTTGCTCGGTAAAGTACTTTGTTGAGGTGTAAAAAGACAACTCTTCATTTAAATGGAATGACATGAGTGTGTTTCATGGCTCCAGTATGACAGCATCATCTGCCTTCCTTCCTATGGGAGAGCAGAGAGAAGGGTTGGGTCGGCGCCGGGGGTTGTGCACGCCTACGTTGACGTCACATGACCTCATCCTGCATCCTCATGATTAGCCTTTCATTTATTGCTGCGCTAACTTTATTTCGCGGCAGGTGGACGACATCTGGTTTTGCCATTTAGGGGGTGGCGGTGGGTGGGAGGTGGAATCAGTTTCCTGAATTGACGTGATTGGAAGTGAACTGGCTACAGCTTGAGGGGCCTTTTTTTCTTTTTTTTAAATCACGATTGCTGTCTCCTGCCACACACCCATTGTATCCATCAACTGGGGCTGGACACCTGTGACATTTTGCATGCGTACAACAGGGAAGCATTGCTGCTTAATTGCTTGGAACTAAAGGCGCCTGGTATAATGATGATCATCATCATTATGATGACACGGTATGGCTGCATATTGGTCCACAACATATGGCACATGGGCCATTTGGGGCACATTAGACCATTTGAGCCGGCCCACAACACAGAAGAAAAAAAAAATTAAAGGCCAGGTCATGGAAAGAAATGATCATAATCTGTGATAAAAAAAAAAAAAAACGTGTCAAATGTGTTTATGAATGGGCCAGGACTGAAATGGACCAATGGGCTGATCTGTAATAGGCACCATACACATGCATATTAATAATATACACATGGTTATCGGTGTCAGCCAACTTTTTAATCACAACACAGACCGTTACTCTATTGCACTTCCCCTATTAGGTCCATGAGCCGATATAGTATGGTTCCAGCAAATAGTCAGCACCTGTTCATGATGATAACTAAGATTTTTATTTTATTTATTTATTTTATTTATTTATTCCCCCAAATATATGTGTTATTGTGGGGGAAAGCAGCCTTTTCCCCCCTGCGTGTTTATTGTGTTTCGGACGAGGAGAATGTTAGTAATCTAAACTCAAGGTGTGACATCACAACTTTCATTTCTCCTAAACCGATTGTCAGCTTGTATCAACTAGCGCATTCCAGTGTTTGTGCGTCCTCAGTAGGGAGTATTCCAATTCTAAGTGATGATTGTTACAAGGACGCCAAGCTACGCTGCGGGCATGGGAAAGTTATACAGCATGACTGAATATGAGCAGAATACAGACTTTAGTATGTAAACCGTTACTACGTTTAAATCCGTCCTAGAAAACTTTTTTTTTAACCATTGCTTTTTCTTAATCTAAAACTTGACAATTTGATTTTGTCTTTTCACTCGTCCAGATTTTATATTAGGATTTGATTTCCATTTTTCCTTAACCTTGTTCCCTTTTTCTTTGCCTCTGTAAGACATGAATGAATGGTACTCATGAACTTCCCTTGTCTAATACAAAATATTTTAGTAAATAGTCCAAAAAACACATCTACTGTATTTATTAATAATTTATTTGTAATTCTCAATTAGTATGAACATTTTTAAAACATTTATTGATAGATTCCCCCCAATTCTTCTACCCAAATCTTTTTTTTTTTTTCTCATGCACTCCCTTCCTTGCTCTTGCTGCATTCTTCCCATCTCGGAGTGCTATTGAGGAGCGCTACTGTTTGCTTCCCATCCAATCAGAACGCACACCCAGAACCTCCCGTGGACCATCTCAGTCATGTTGAAATCCACTTGAAGGATTCTAATGGTGTTGTCATTTATCAGCTGTTGCCATGGGAACCCTCACCTTGGGTCACGAGGAGAAATAAGAAGAGATTTAACTTACCACTCCCGACCGCTTCGGAGAAGAAGCCGCTCCGTTTGTTCCACATTGGATCCATGCCGGAGTGTGTGTAGGTGTTGGGGGGGAGGGCATCCCCTCACCACACCTCCTCCTCTTCTTCTACCCTTCATGCCGTTTCTCTCTGTCTCACGCGCTAAGCGGGAATCACACAACCACTCCTTGTTTTTTTTTTTCCCTCTCCCCCTGCCACAGAGGAGGGAGAGTGAGGGATGGAGGCAGCATGCAACAGCATCAGCATCCCATGCAAGTCAGCTACACAGACCAGTCCAGTCGTCATCCTCCTCCTATTTTTGTTCTCTGCTCCTCCTCTTTCTCCTCCTCTGCTTGCTTGAACAAGGAGGAAATAACCCCAAGAAACAGGATCTTCAAACATCATATGTATGATCAAGAGCTTGCTTACATTTGTATTGATCATGAAATAAATACAGTTAATTAGTGGGGGGGTGAGGGGTAATCACTATATCCTGCCATGAAAAAGAATTTGACACCACCTCCCCTGAAAATCTATATGATGGCCTAAATGAATGTACCACAAACTCTGGTTCCAAAAAACAAAAACTCACTATCCAATAATACCGTTAAAAATAAATGGTTTAGAGATTACAGTTATATAGCTTGAATGTGGGAGGGTACTGAATACAAATGGCGCAGCAAGACGTAGAACGCAGGTGTCAAACTCAAGGCCCCGGAGCCGGATCTGGCCTGCGAAAGCAAATCAAACATGTCAACAGCTATGATGCTTGCTGAAATTTGTACCAAAATTTCAAATTCTCATATGTAATGCAAATTGAGATATTGTAAGCCTTTTCTTGTGACCAAGCCATTTTTCTTGACTTCTTTATATAGTTTCACAGTCATAGCACACAGTCATCCATTTTGGATGGATGTCCACTACTTGTGAATTTGTGTGCGTTCATGTTATTTTGAACAGTAAGATCGCTCTGATGCTGTGGAAGCTCTTTGCGGACCATGACTTGTGCAGTACGTTGTTACAAAAAAAAAAAAAACCCAAACAAACAAAAACAAAGTCAGGAAAAGCCTACTAGAACATCAGATCTTTATTTGGGGTGAACCAGCAGCACCTAAAATATGGTGACAGTGTGCAAAGTCCCGTTCAACATGAGTGCGATTGGTCAATTTTAAACATCGCCACATTCCCAGTGCCAAGAGGGTGTGCACACTTATGCAATAACATCATTTCAGTTGTTTATCTTTGCTTCCTCTCTCATAAAGATTTCCTCTTTTAATTTATACATTATAAGACACATTAATTGTCGAAAAAATTTTGGGATTATTTTTTTAAAAAAAAAAATCTTAAAATCCTGCTCAATCTTTTGACCTGGAATTTGAACAAGGATGTGTTGACTTTTGATATCCACTATAGGTAGAAATGTGAGCGTGGATGGTTGATTGTTTGTATGTTGGTGCCCTGTGATTGACAGCAAAGCACTAAGACTCATGAATTATGATGTGGCAAAGCTTTTACAACTTAATGTGCTCTAAACCTTTAAACAAGCGATTGTCTATTTTCCTCTTTCCCCATTATGTGTTTTTACCCCCTATGGAAAATGTCATTGCCACAACATGACTTATTAATGTTGCATTATTGTCACTTATCGCATAGCGCAAAAGTCCACTTAAAAGGTGGACCCAGAACTATCAGTATAATGTGCAACAATAAGTTACTTTTGTAAGAAGTCATTTTATTTATGTGGGGGAGTTCCTGAATTATGAATCCGCTATTTCACTTACACTGCAGCTGTCGGAAACAACACCGAGGTTTCTCGTGCTCCTTCCCACTGATTGTGTACTCAGAAAATTAAAGTAATAAAAATAGGTGACAAGCTCCAATATACAACTTGACATTTAAAAAGTGTCGTCTTTAAAGCTGAAATGTATTATCATTTGATTTATATATGTGCAATGTTTAAAGCTGCATCCATAATATTTTGAACTCTTTTTACTTAAATGCGTGCAATGTTATAAAAATATTCCATTTTCACTTTCATTTGTCCAATGTATCAAACCACATTATATATTTGTATTTATTGATTGATTTTAACTGCACTATGCACAATGTTTAAAGCTATTGTTATCATTTTCTTAGTTTTCTTTTAGTTGTATAGTTTGTGCAAATGTATATTATGTTAATACTTGTATCTTTTTTTTCTTAATTTATGCAACATGTTTAAAGCTACATTAAGTGATAATATTACTTAAATAGTTTGACCATTCCCCCCTAAAAACGAAGTTTCCCTTTTTTAACATGAATGTCTACAATGTTCAAAACTATATTATGTTTTCGTTTTTGTCTTTAAAAAAATATATTTTGATGTATTCAGTTAAAAAAATACTTTGTGTTGTACAGTATGAATACCTTCAGCAATAAATTGACTTTTCAAGTACCTTTTTAGCCTTTTTCTTCTTAAATGCGTACATTTTTCAAGCTACGTGTAAAACGTAAACATTTAATAATATTTAACTTCAATACAAATACTGTTGGGCGGCACTGTGGACAACTGGTTAGCATGTCGGCCTCACAGTACAGACTTGCAGGGTTCGATTCTGGCTCCGGCCTTCCTGTATGGAGTTTGTATGTTCTCCCCGTGCCTGTGTGGGTTTTCTCCGGGTACTCCGGTTTCTTCTCACATTCCAAAAACATGCATGACAGGTTAATGGAACACTCTGAATTGTCCCGAGGTATCAGTGTGAGCGTGAATGGTCGTTTGTCTATGTGTGCACTTCGATTGTCTGGCAACCAGTTCAGGGTGTACCCCGCCTATTGCCCGATGAGGGCGGGGATAGGCTCTAGCAAGCCCGTGACCCTCGTGAGGATAAGCGGATTGGAAAATGGATGAATGGACGAATACTGTCTAAATAATCATTAATTTAAAAAACTCACAATAAAGTCATAACTTAACCTTTAAACATATGTACAATCTTTCAATAATTGCTTTCACTTCATTCTCATGTCAATTAAAAAAAAAATGTCTTTGTTTAATAATGGCAATGAGGAAAAAAAATGAAAAAAATGGAGGTCTTTTCTCAAAGCCTTTGACATAGAAACCTCCTATGTGGTGTCCTGCCAGCCATTCGGCTTAAACCCATGAAAGAGTGCAGTGGGAGTTGTGTGTGTTCTAAATGATGCGCCCTGTAGGGTATGCGTGTGTGTGTATGTTTGCTCCTGTGTGGATGTGTGTGTGCGTGCATACTCCTAATCCATTCTCCTGGGACGTCTGTATCCGCTTGATGGTCTTCCTGAGCAGACATGCTGGATGCGATTGCCGCTAAGGCTCCTTGATAATCCTCCACTCATCTGGTGGCCTGGAAAGGACAGGCACCTCCAAAACGACTCTGTGTGTGTGTGTGTGTGTGTGTGTGTGTGTGTGTGTGTGTGTGTGTGTGTGTGTGTGTGTGTGTGTGTGTGTGTGCGCGCAGTGGCGGTCCTAGTTTAAATGGCATCCTGTGTTTTCTTTGAATATATTGATTCGTAAATAAGCCTGCCTGCAACCCCAGCTCATTTCTCTTCATCTTTTTTCGTAAATGTTTACCTGATGGCTTTGACTTTTTCCTCTTCATATTTATGATAAGTGTAACTTACATTTCCCAACATTCCCAAAGAAACTCCAGCCCCTCCCGCCGTCCCTTCCACAGGGGGCGACTCCACAAGGGCACACACATTTCCCATACTTGTCAAAACATTACACAACTGAAAACAACCTGCTGTAGGATTTGTTCATTTTTTTAACTGGATGAGGGGGGGGGAATCATTTTTATTTTGGTGTTGTCACCTTTAAAGCAATGAAGATCTGCACACAAATGGTGCAGAAAATACGTAGCCAGATAATGTAAAAACCCTCACAAACATCTTTTCTTCATCCTCTGCAAAGACTACTAGTACCAGTAGTCCTGCCTTACTGAGACACTGAGAGAGAAGGCTGCTACCAGGTGGCCAAGACGCATAGGGAAGAAGCTACAAAAAAAGCTACATAGAAAGGTTTTCTTGTGCAATGGCATGGCATGTCGGCCTAGCAGAGTCACCTTTTGTTGAAGAGATAACGTGGGGGTGTGGTTTCTTCGGAAATGACGGGAAATGCGAGTTACCCTAACCGTAAACATGGAGAGGAAAAGGTCAACGCCATTAGAAAAATAAGCAAATGATGCCTCCCTGTTGATATTTCAGTATATTCTCATTTTCAAGAAAGTATAGTCCCCTCCAAAAGTACTGGACCGGCAATGTCAATGTATTTGTTTTTGTTGGAGAGACTGAAGACATTTTGATTTCTGACCAAAAGATGAATATGAGATAAAAGTTCAGAATTCATGAGGCCACGCACTTTTCAAGTGAGCAAAAGTATTAAAACGGATATTATTAAATTGACTTAAAGTAAATAAGATTGAATATTTGGTGGCATAGCCTTTACTTGCAAGAGCTGCATAAAGCCTGTGAGTTATTGACTTCACCAGACTGTTGCATTTTTCATTTGAAATGCTTTTCCAGGCCTTTACTGCAGTCTCTTTCAGTTCTTGTTTGTTTCTGGCGCTTTCTTCCTTCAGTATCCTCTTCGGGAGGTAAAATGCATGCTCTGTTGGGTTAAGGTCTGGTGATTGACTTGGCCAATCGAAGACCTTCCGCTTTTTCTCTCTTCGGAAGACCTTTGTTATGTTGGCAGTGTGTCTGGTGTCACTACGTTGTTGCATGATGAAACTTCTCACGATTAGTTTGGATGCATTTCTTTCCTGTAAATTGCCAGATAAAATGGTTTTGGAGACTTGACAATTCATTCTTTTGCTACCATCACGAGTTGCATCAGTGAATGAGCCCGTTCCATGAACAACCTTGCAACCCCAAGCCACGACATTACCTCCATCATGCTTCACAGAGGAGCTTGTGTGTTTTAGTTCCAAAGCGGATCCTTTCTTTCTTCATACTTTGAACTTTCCATCACTTTGGTAGAAGTTAATCTTCATCTCATCAGTCCAAAAAAGGTGGTTTCAAAACTTTTGTGGCTCATCTTTTGTGGTAAAGCATGTATATTTTTTTCTCTCAAACTCTTCTTTGAACAATGGGATTGTGATACCTTCACCCCTGCCCTGTCAGGGTTGGCCGTGATGTCACTGACTGTTGTCTTTGGGTGTTTCTTCACAGCGCTCACAATGTTTTTTCATCACCTGCTGTTGGTACCCTTGGCTGACCTGTTCGGAGGCTGTTTCTCAGTAGTTTCTTTCTTTGATATGACATTCCAAATTGTTGTCTTGGATGTGCCCACTGTTTGTGCAATAGCCCTTATGTTTAAGCAATCAATCCAAAAGGCACCTAGAGCAACGAGAAACACCCGTCAGTCATAAATTCCAATACTTCTGCAGACTCGGATGTGTTCTGTCCTGAGTTATTTAACACATTGAAATGTAAATACCGTGAAATAAAAGATGGAATTCTGAACTTTTGTCTCATATTCATCTTTTGATCTGAAATCAAAATGTCTTTGGTCTCCGACAAAAACAATGGAATTGACCTTGCCATTCCAATACTTTTGGAGGGGACTGAAAAATATCCACTCTCGTGTGTGTGTGTGTGTGTGTGTGTGTGTGTAGCTATAGTTTGAAGTGAAGTACATCATGAGACTCTGTGTGTGTGTGTGTTTGTGTGTGTGTGTGTGTGTGTGTGTGTGTGTGTGTGTGTGTGTGTGTGTGTGTGTGTGTGTGTGTGAGAGAGAGAGAGCGTTAGAGAGAGACTTGGCCACAAATGACCCGCACAAGAGCAGAACTGGCTTCTGTCATGATATTTTCGGCTAAACCACAACAGTACAATGATTGTCATTTGTCTCGCTTGTCTCAAAAGACAAACAGCAGACAATAAAGTTTAAATGTGACATTTGTGGGCCTGAGATGCGAATAAAAAAAAAAAAGGAGCTTATTTCCTCTAGTAAGCAATCGTAGTCTCCAAGTCACACAGATGCATACACGCACAGAAATACAGAGCGTTAATGGTTTCCTAATTGTGAGAGGCAGACCATTGAGAATAATCAGCAGAGTGCAGCGCGCTGAACACGATATTAGTCATCGGCTGTGACGTACGCAACGACGCAACCTACTCAAGCACTTCAACATGACTTTCCAGAGCATACGAGCACATTGTGTATTTTCATCAACAAACATACTTCCAGCCTTAATGTTTTTGCACTTGCCGGAAGTTCACATTGGAATGGAGGTACATTATGTAAAAAAATGTGACCGTCATCTGTTGTTAGTACATTTTCTTCTTATCACCAAGGCAATAGCGAATTGTCTTTTTTTTTTTTTTTTTTTTTAGTCTTCGTGGACCAGGCAGGGCAGCACTCATGTTCCCGCTAATGTCAGTGCTAACCTATCGATGTAGAGTGTTGCACAGACTAGAGCTTGTATACGTAAATAATGACACAATTTATGTTTTTAAGATGATGTGACAAGTTAAAGTAGTTCCTGCTCCTTACTGCTAATTTAAATGTCATAAATTATGAAAATGTAAGGGGAGTGAAGAAAGGGGGAAATATTTATTACTGTTGCTTTAAAAATGACAAATACTGCAAGCATAAACAGGTTAGGTCGGAAAACATTCTTTAAAAGACACACATATTAATATTTTTGTCCTGCTTCTCTACATACACATTTGCATTCAATACCAATATTTATGACTTTTAAAGCAAAAGTATAAACTACTTTATGATTTAAAGTATCTTTTCTCCTTTTGCATCTGGCCTCTTTGTGATTTAAAACAGGTCAGATTTTTCTCCCTTTACATTTACAATCCTGAATTTTCAAGTAAGAGCAAGGAATTAACTTCTCCCACTATACTCCATGTCGATTAGTGACATTTTTTTAACTTTGAAAGTGACATTTAAAGTCCCCAAAACAAATCTACAAATCTAAAAGCCGTATTAGGGAAGAAAGAAAAGTTTAACTTTAAAACACAAAATTTTAAAACGCACGTGAGTGCTAGGGGGTTGTTACTTAGTGTAACTTCAAAGTCACACAAATCGCACATTTAATTCTGTGGTTGGGGCGAATTTGTTTTAATTGTTGAAAAATCCGAAATGTAAGTGGAGTGTTAAGGAAGACAAAAATGTTGCCAACTGTAGCCTTGAAAGTCTCGAGTGTTATAAATGTAACCTGCAGTGATATTGGTCATTGTTTGCAGTGCATAAAGAATATATGCCTGTGAGTACTGTTATATTATCTGTCTACATGTGTTGCTCTACCGCTTGTGCTCCAACATTCATTGTGGAAAAGGTTATAACACCGCAGAACTGATGTTATTCAGAACTGTGTTTTGCATTATTTGTTCGCAATACGCTACAAGAACTTTAAAGGTCACAAATATTGCAAATATAAGTGGAGGGCTTTGTCCAGCCAAATATACAGTACTTATGCTGGCTTTAATAGCCCAACGTTTTCAAAGTTTAAAAGTGTGGAGTGCTGGGGAGGCGAAAAGTTAGTGAGCGTCGCTTTAAAAATCACTACGATGGTAAATAATGCTGCTTCACCTAAAATGCGAGTGAGGCATGGTCTAATTGGCAAAGAAAGGAGCTTTTTGTTGCTGCTCGCTGGATTGGGAAGCGGGCGACTGGCAATCAGGTGGAGAAATTGTGTGTTGTGTGTCAATGTTAACAAGAGAGACAAATAGGACGCACAAATAGGAACAGGGAGAGAGAGTGAGAAAGAGAAAGCGAGCGCAAAGCAGGTGCATCACTAATGGCTTTTTAAAAAGGTTACAGCGCAGAGCTCTTCTTTTCTAATGGGGCTCCGGCTGTGCTCGAGAAGCAATTTCCGGAAAAGATAATGTTGTCGAGAGAGTGCACAGTGTTCTGTGTGAGCGTGTTTGTGTTGTCGCTTACAAAGAGTGACAAACACAACACACAAAGACTCGGAGTCGGATTTGGAGAGAAAGAGAGCGATTGGCTGTCGACCTTTCAAAGTAATGATGCCATCATGTTACATTAGCTTGGTGACTAATGCTCAAAGTGGATAAGTGAAGGTTACTGGTGGAATTTTTTTTTGTTTTAATGCTCTTTTCTTCCTTTTGCACAGATGGAAAAATGCGAAAGTTTGCTTTTCTAATATGACAAGTGCCCCGTTCCATGTTGGGCTGTCCGTAAGATACTGTATATCAAACACTGCCACCTGCTGGTTACAGGCACTCGTGACACAAGTTCTGAAAAAGCCTGAGCATTTTTGTGTTGGCCACTAAAAGGCGGTATTTCATCACTGACAAAAATAATCGCCACACATTAAAATGAGCACAAGATCAGGCCAAAATACAATTAAGCATACATATGTCTTTTTATGCACACAAAGAATATTAATATTATCTTGTTCCGCATCAGCTTTTGTGTGTTAAATATATTAAAGGTGACAAAATGTCAAAGTGGCCTTCTTTGATACAAATTTGGACACCCCTGTGCCGTGGCATAAATAATGTCCTTGTACATTAACATAATTACAAGCCAAGTAAGTCGTCCAAAAAAGAAACACCTTACCCTTTAATCTTTTTTTTTTTAACATGAAAGCGCAGTCCAGATGCTACGTGACCTGAAAAGAAAAAGAAGTCGGTTGATGGGAAGAACGCATGCCTCACCGGTGATAAAAAAAAAAAAAAAAATAGTTAACAACTTCAATGAACAAACAAATAAACAAAGGCATCCTCGCTAACAAACAACTTACCACTAGTGGATACTCTCGTACACACTCTGCAGTTCCTATCTGGGCAAAAACACTCAGCAGCCACTTCGTTAAACACAATCTATAGAAAATCAGTTTTTAAGAAATTGGCTACTGCATGTCTTATGTCATTCTTGTATTGGACATAGTGTGTGTGTGTGTGTTTGACATTGTAAGCAACAACATTCCATTTTGTAGTAACTGTGGTTTATTTTGGTAAATACAAAACATACATTTAACATGAAAATAGCATAATTCGGACTTGACCGTGTCCTTTCACCTTCTCTTTTGCTTGAAAAATTACAGATGGAACAGTTAAATATACTGTAAGTCATTTGCGAGGTAAAATATAATGAGCATCCTCTGATGTGCTATCACAAGTTGTTGGTTTGGTTGTCTGTCTCTCTAGGTGCCCTGCGACTGACTGGCAACCAGTTCAGGGAGTAGTCTGCTTTCCGCCCGAGGTCAGCTGGGATAGGCGCCAGCAACTCCCCGCAACCCTGTTCAGGATAAGCTTTGTTGAAAATGGATGGATGGATGTTGGTTTTTTTTCTTATTGGTGTTGGACTGGGTTGGTCTTGGCAAGGGTCCTTCAAAGAAAGGGCCATAAAGAGATCAGTTCCACACAGGAGTATCATTACGGCAACACGTTGTATTAGTTCAACTTAAGCGACACAGGTTGCCAAAGCAACAATGGTGCTGTCATTCCAAATGTTCATGAATACTTGTACACACAAACACACTCACATAATAAAAAAAAAAAAAAAACATGAATGATATCCATCCATCCATTTTCTAGACCGTCGTCCTCATTAGGTTTTGCAGATCACTGGAGCCGATCCCAGTTGAATTTGGTGGGGCATAGCGTGGACAGTTCTACCAGTCAATCGAAGAGCACATTTAGACAAACACAGTTAGTCCTTTTGATTGTGAGCAGACGCAAAAACAGGCACACTCAGGCGCGCGCGCACACACACACACACACACACACACCCACACACACACACACACGCACGCCCCTCGCTGTAGACATAATCATATAAGCGTATAGCGTTAAGTGTAAGAAAACCTTTCATTGACTGTACAAAACAGCTAGTTGACATTGCCTCGAAATTCCGAGCCACTGGTTTCTATATGCTGGAATGAAGCCGGAACAAAATGAACGGGACGTCAATAAGAGATCTGCAACAACAAATATTAGAGTATGACAGGCAGGAGTTCCTGCCAATCGGACGACCCTCCAAAAAGTATCAAAAGAGAAACGTCAGTTCACACACACATGAAAATATATTTTCTTAGCCTAATAGCATAATTGCCAAAGTCAATTTAAATTATATAAAAAGACCAATGCACACACTCAAAACTGTTTTTGTTCCCTTTATGTCTACATATATTGTCAGTCATACTGGTCATCCACAAAGGCTGAGTTGAGGCAAGTGGACTCTTTTTCATTGTTGAATGTGGTTTTTTTTTCATGTTTCCTGAAAATGTTTGAATATGCCTTTAGCAACTATGCTATTACGCTTAAGATTTGTGGAGTATAAATGTCCCTTCTGTCACATCACTCAGTGCACGACACAATAACAACATGACAGATTGCCAAATGCTAAATCTGTGCTATAATTGACAAACGTGCTTTCTGCTCTCTTTTATGTAAGCCCCTTTGACACACTGCCAGTAAAAGAAGGTATGTTTTCTCACCCTTTTCCTGTCCCGCCATTCTCTTTAAACAGCACAGGAACAATATAGATCGGATGAAAGGTGACCGGGACATTTTCTGACTTGGGAGGTAGTATCAGAGCTGTAACAGAGGCGGGATGGTGACTGCGTGTAAGGGAAAACTGGAAAAGCTAAACTGAATTCAGTTTCACTTTCCCCACAATGTCTCGTTGAATTGCCATCTAAGACCACCTTCACCGGTTTCTGTGCTTTCAGAGCAAAGGCGGCAAATGACTAATGTGACACCTGTTATGGCTCTGATGCGGCCAATTTTGCAGGATCTCTGTGTGAAAGAGGCTTTATGGCAGTGATGTCCATTTGATTGATGTTGACAAGAAGTCACTGATACACAGTGTACTTAAAGTCTCTATAATGAAAGATAATACTGTGAAAATTGTTTTAAAGCTAATTAGTAGATACTGAAGAATTTTTATTTGCTTGGTCTTTTTTTGGGGGCAGGGCATCCCCTCTATCCAACACTATCCCGCTAAGGACCCATCAATCCTAACATCAATTAAACATTCACTAAAATGTGAACGTCCAAATGCCATAGAAAATATTTTTTCATCACAAATATTCATAACCGGTCAAAAGCAGTAATTTAGTCAAGGGTTGGAAACTTCTGATCAGAGGAATGTGCTTCCCAGAGCTCGACATGAGAAAAGGGTGCGAGAGCTTGAAATGCTGCGTGCGTCATATTTATGAGATACGTCAGTCACATCAAAATTCTGAAGATAGGGAGGAATTATTGATTAAGTAGCCTATGTTTGTTTTATTAGTGCACCTGGTCGCATATGTAGCTACAGAATGCACTTTTTAAAGATGTTAAGACACACCGGTAATGGAAATTATTTTTACTGCTAACTTAACAGAACTTATTTTATCAACAAGGTCAAACACAAGTGTTAGAACAAATCTGAAAATTTGAAAATGCCAGCGACATCTACTGACACTCTTTCACTCAATGTCAGAAGGTGAAAGTATATGAAAGTATATATACCTGTTGCCACTGATAAAACAGCGTAATAGCGCTGAGCTCAGATAAACTAGATTACACATTGGGATGACATCATCATTATTTCAGTATACTTTTTGTGATTTTTTTTTTTTTTTCTGTTTGGTGGTGTGATGTTTGGTTTTGCTCATGTAAAATTGGCTCAATAAACGTTGGGAAACACTGCTTTTGAGGACAGAAACATTGCTTGTACTGTGTATTTGTTGACTCCGAAACATCTCTTTCCACACTGAATTGTCCTGAGTGTTAGAAAAGCATCTCCAGTGGACGATCCACTGATCTTATTAGGCTTCTCTCCCGGTCCTCAAAGTGTCTGCTCCACTAAGTTTTGATCAGAGTGACAAACTTGTTGTGGAGTTCTGGCGGGGACATGGGGGGGCGGAGTATTGCTTCAACACAGCTGGCTTGAACGAGCCTTACCTCGGCTCATTTTGCTCCCGAGAGAGGAGAGGAAAAAAAGTACTAACAAGACAGAAGTGGGGCGGCTGGTCGCCTCCTTGTGACAGCTCGGCAAGCCGGCCACCCGCTCATGCCGCCGTTCTGTCCGTGGACCTTCACACCTGTGTGGATTTCACCCGGCGGAGAGGGAGTCGCCCCCCGTGGTGGGCGGGACAGGGCTGGGTGGCGCCGTCGTCAGACCGGTCTAGACTGAGCTGGTGAGGCACCTCCGCAAGGGGTGGTGAACGGGGGTGGGGTCCGGGATTGGCTGATCGTCATGTGATCTCAGAATATGGTAACCCTGGAGCCTAAGGCGGAAGAAGATGGGGGGAGGCACCGAGAGTGTAAAATGGTAGGATCTTATTCACTCACGGCAAGGCATCTTTATAGCGCAGTTCACACACAAAGTAACTCAATGTGTGTCGCATAATTAAAAGTACATTAAAAAGCATTTACAAACAACAGAGTTCAAGACATTTAAAAGCAAAGCAAAGAAATTTAAAGTACCGTATTAAAATTGTTATAGTTGCCAAAAATTTTACACCTGGAGCTAATCTCACTTTTGTTGGCATCTTTTAACAGTTGCCTGCACCATAACCGCTAAATGCTGCTTCACCATGTTTGCCTTGAACTAACTGATGTGAGTGTGCAGACCTCAAAGTTGTACTGGATTTATATGCTATCACAAATTTTTTAATGTACTGTACTTTTAGGGCCGTAAAAACTGTAAATTATTTCTTAACGTGGTTGGACACAAATGGAGAAAACTACCGTAACAGTAAATATAAGGATAGGTCAGGTTATTTCATTAATTTGGAAAATCAAGTTTACAATTTTGAGGGGTCTGTAGACCCTCTGAGAGATGGATTTCAAAAAAATATACCCTCAATAGAATACAGCAAGCATTACTAATCTAATCTATTTTTTCATGCCATCCATTATTTTGCTCACATGTTGCACTGCTTATTTTTTTTTTTTTTAACTGTCCTAAATAATTTATTATGGCAGCCTGTCAATAGCTTCCCACCCATCAATTATCCACACCTCTTATCGCAGGACACATGCTTTATAGACAAAGAATCATTCACACCAGTGGGCAATTTGCAGTCCTCAAAAATGGTTATTGTTAGAATGTGAGAGGACAAGGCCACCATGTTGTCAATTCTAGATGGGAATTTTAATGCTATTTTTAGGTCTTCCTCCCCCACCCCTTACCTGAAGGCCACTTAACTTTTCGAGTGGACTCTCAACGCGGGGCAGAGTAAGCAGAGGAATCCCAGCCGGCGTCTCCAAAGGCTGTGGTGCTGGAAGAGGAGGGTTCGGCACCACCGTTTGGGCCGGCCGGAAATTGTTGATCACACATGACACCTAATTGAGGGATGTGAAAAGCATAGATGAAATTAAGAAACAAAATGAAAGAACATTCCACTGTAACTTCTTTCACCAAGAAGGCGGCGATGGCTCCTCCGGTGATGAAGCCGGCCAGTACGTCGCTCCAGTGGTTCCTGTGCTCTGTCACCCTCACCACGCCCACCAGCACTGCCAGCAAGAGGAGCACCAGGCACAATGTCGGCTTGGTCAGACGGGTCCCCTTGGTGCGGAAAACCAGGGTCACATACATCTGGAATGAAAAGCCGTGGAAGGAAGTGGAGATCACTTGCATTTATTACCACAAGAGGGCACACTTTGCAATGTTAACAGTAAATTGAACACCTCTTGACAAATGAGGGCAACTAATAAAACATAAACGAAGGCAGATTTGTCACTTCAGTTATCAGCAGCAGTCCGTACATTATCATCAGTTTTGAATGAGTTAGGATGGAATATACATACAACTTAGTAAATCATTTTTTAATTAACCTATTTCTGGAAAATGTATCTTTCGGCAAGGCATTCTGCACTGGAACTTTCGAGCGACAACTGTGTTGTCAAACTGATTGTGTTGTGTAATAGTGTGGACTTTGTGGTTTGCTTTTTGTTTTAGTTGGGTAAGTGTTAAGCCTCAGTGGTGAGTGTGATTGTGTCAGTCGTTGTCTTTTGTGTATCGATTGTTAAATCAGTTTCAGTTTTATGAGGATTGCTTTTGTCGTAATACTGACCTGAATAACTAAAGCATCTACCATGTTCACAATCATTATTGATATTCAATCGTTTAATTATTCAACAGAAACAAATCGCCTTCACACGAGGTTCATCAATAGCCCAGCTGTTCTTGGCAAACTAGCCTAAATTACACGCTAGGACTAGCACATTACACAAATGGCATGAAGTAATAAAACTCACATTTTGGCATCTACAGGCAATAATAGGGGGTCCAGGCAAATTGTAACGGCTCAGTTGATCACACCTGCTATTATGAAAAGCTCCATCAGGAGAAAAGGAGAAACATTCTTCCAGTTTTTGACTATTTATGACGTTCAAATAAGGCCGGCCAAAAAAAAACAGGACATATCAAATGCACAGGAAAAAAAAAACCCACAGCACCAAAAGCGCCATAACTGACTAGGATTCTACTTTTGGCCACTATGCGGGATTCCAGTTAAGGTAAGCCATTTTAAACTAAAAAGAGAAACGTTTCTGCAGTTAGAAGTAGAAATTTCATTCGACCGGAACTTGTTTGCTGCCGTCTACCCTGGGTGTGTTAAAAAATTCAGCCTGACACTCTGAAACTTCACTCTGAATGTGTGTGTTTGGACACTTGGGAACTGTTACAATTCACAATGCCTTGTTTAATTCAGTTGGCTGCAACCAGTTCAGGGTGTACCCCACTTCTTGTCTCAAGTCAGTTGGGGTAGGCTCCAGCTCAGCCTTGAACCTGATGAGGACAAGTGCTGTAGGAAATAGAATGATGAAGAAATCTTTAGTTACCACAGTGTAGATGGCTGAGTAAAAGCTGAGTGCCGCATCTTTGGAGGGGAACGATTTGCGGGCGGACGCCACCAAGAAAGGGTTGCCTGTGCAAGCACGTTGCTCTGTGATGTACTGCAGTGAGGACTGGCAGCCAAGAGCCGTGTAGTTGGGCTTGCACGCGCTCAGGAAATGAGGCGTCTGGTTCCCTGTCACCACTTGACCCGCGTTGGCGAAGATGGTGGTCGTAAAGAGGCCGAAGGAGTAGACGCCTGCGGGCACGTGAATTAGAGAGACACATGATTAAACTGGAGGGATTGAATCGTTACACTGACTTCAAATAGCAACATTAGCTTCTGATAAGCGTCACTTACCGGGCTATAATTGTACATGATGTATAATAATTATATTTCAGCATTACATATGATTCGAATTTTCAGATCCTGTACCTTATAAAGAGGGTCAATATATTAGAAACAGCAAGCTGTAATGCAGAGCACTGCTATGACAGAACACTGTTAATTTAACACCTCTGTGACGGTGTCAGTCATAACGAGGTGGGTATAATAATATTAGCTGATTAAATGAGGATTAATAACCTTGTCAAAAGTGTGGAATTGTGTGGAATTAAGTGAAGCAACTGAAACAAATTGGATTCCACTACTTGGCTGCCAAAAAAATGGAACCAACTAATTTACTATCGAAACACATACAACATCAGCTCGGCTATGGCGAGCTGAAATATGCCGGCATCGTCCTGGCAGCATTATCCTGCTAAACAGGACATTGAAATCGATAATAATAAACACTTTTCTCGAAAGGAAATTTACTCAAAATGTGGTCCAAACTCAATGAAAGCTGGAATTTTGGATCCAGCTTTTATGTTGTATCTCATCATGCTGTTTTAACTGTACATCATAAAGTATATGGTGAGTGTAAATATGAGAATAGCCCCACCAAAAAAGATTACAAACCCTAAACCATAAAGACCAAAATTAACAACAAAGGCTGTTTTCTGGCTAGTCCACAGACTGCATGACTTTTAGCTTCGCTCCCAAGAAATGGAAGCCCCTCCTGAGTTCAACAAAAGAGGCGGTTCTTATCTGCAAAAAAACAAGGACTGACCCAGAAAACGGACGATCCTGCGGAGGAGCGGGTTGAAATAGCAGCAGTCTGCGGTCACGATGGTCTTCTCCTGAGCTCCCTCTGACTTTACAAAGAAACTGGTCACTTCTCCAATCAGAATCTGGGACAGAAAAAAAAGCATGAAAAAAAGAGAAAAAGAGAGACTGTCAATCAAATGGAGATAAAACTGTGTGTTTAAGAGCTGATGACCCTCACTGACTATTCTGTCACTTTAATGTAGCGCACAGCAAAATTATTCATGAGCGTTCCTCCCACTCTGCCTGGCAGCGATTATGTTGTATGTTGCCTTGGCCTGCCTGCATTTGCTTTGCCTCGCCATTTGGCAGCTTCAGTCAAGCCAAATGTTACTAATCATTCACTAGCATCCTTGTACTCTTTCATTTTGTGAGCTTCTCACAGTTAACCACAAACTTCAGGAAAAAATATGATGCAAAAGTCAAACTTTTTTTTTTTTTTTGCCTGCCTTCCTAAGGGTCACAGGGGAGTTGGAGCCTGACTTTGGGCGAAAGGCTGGGTACACCCTAGACTGTTTGCCAGCCAATTGCATGCTATATAGACCAGGGGTGGGCAAATTATGTCCTCAAGTGCCACATTTATTATTAAATTGGACAGATGGGTCAGGTCATTCGGAGATCATCTTATAAATAAATAAATAAATAAATAAATAAATAAAGAGTTGTGTATGTAATTAAATAATTTTTCTTGATCATTTTTGTGTTAGTCATTTTAATTAACCTATTTTTAATGAATTGTTCATGTAATTTAAACATCGTTTTTTTTCTCTAGTACAGCGGTGCCTTGAGATAAAAATTTGTTCCATGAACACACTCAAAACACTCAAATTAAAAATCATCTTTCTGCACTGCGATGAATGGAAATGCCTTGAAGCCATTCCAGCCTCCTCTAAAATAAACCAACAAAAGCTTTTGGAGAAGAAAAGAACAGCATAATAATATTGTGCTCAATAAAAACAGAGTAATAACATCAAAATAAAAGGTCAAGAATCAAAGGTTCTGCATCATGGTTTAATCCAATTCATTGTGCTGCTCCTTGCAGTAAGCAGACATTGGCCACCAGATGGCAGTATAATATTATCATACAGGCAAACAAAAAGCCACCACTATACTCTGTGACTCATTAAGTTTCAAAATTAGTCTTTTTTTCATAGAGGATAAATATGTGTGCATTGTGATATTGTCTGTCTACCTGTGTTGTTCCACCGTGTGTGTTCACATGGCCATCTCTTGAAGATATTAAACACGGTGTTGTATGTCAGTGGCATTATTCCATACTTAAGGCAAAGTTGGTTGTTTGTTTTCAATACATTTTGGGGGGGATTTGTTCATTGTTTTCCTAACTGCTTCTTATTCTGAAGTGAGTTCCATTATTAAAAAAAAGAATAAAAACATTGCAATTTCTCGATTAAACAAAAAAAAAATATATATATATCTGACAATCAATGCAAAAAAATATATAGAACTCTTGATAATGTCGCTGGGCAGGCTGCATGTGGCCCACAGTCCATATTTTGCGTAGCACTGATATAAACAAGCAGTCACTCACGCAATCACAAGTAGAGCATAAAAAATCCACATTGCACAGGACGGACCTCAGATTCAAACCCCAAAACCTCTCGAGTGTGAGGGAGAAGTGCTAAGTTGCTGACCATAATGAAATGCTTCTCGAAGGTCCTTTTTAAATGTTCATATACTTTGTGTGGGTCCCCTACCTCTGTTTGACAGCGAACAAATGGTTTGCATCAAATAAATTCAACCTATGTAATCGCCATCAAAATCGAACGATTGTGAAGATATGTCCATTCGGTGAAGAGCCTGCATTCCATAAGGAATCCGATCAATTTTTTTGACGAAGCAACAAAATTTAACGAAGCACCCTGTAAGCCCAGCCTTTTGCTGACAGCAGCATGGACAGATGTAGGTTACAAGCCCATACAAAATGCATGGCTCATGGCCTGAAGTGGTAGTTGATGCTAATGCACCACACGTAGCTCAACGTTTGCAGCAGTGTAACTGACAGATGGATCCCGCCATCGTTCTTGCACAGGGAGCGCCCCTAATGAAGAGTTTCCTGAGAATGATGGGACTCCAGCATAAATGGACTGCTTAGGAGTACGACCTGACCAACACTGCATAAACAAGTGGTACACAGGTCATCGATATAAATTATGGACATTGAAGGCCATAATTGTCTGCGTACCTGACAAGACTCCAGTTAAGTGAGTACCGGAGGACTAACTTGAGAAAAATTATGCTTTTTCCATTCACGGTGGTATCCTTGCCAGAACACATCAGTACTTGTACGTCAACGAAACAAAAAGCTCTGATACCATGACACAGATACCATTTTACCAGCCAACGTACGTGGATAACTTCAGGGCAGATGGAGGAGGAATGGCAGCTGTGTGGGGATATTTGAGGTTCAACACTTCATTAGTCGACTGCGATGTTTTGCAAAATTAATGATGAACTCTGGCAGCGACCGATGCAAGCACCTTTTAAATAGTGCATGGCTCCGGACTAACTTTTTCTTACGAAGAGCATAGTGGCACCAAACCTGAAATTTTAGAGGCACAAGTAGAACATTTTGGGACATTCATTGAGAATCAAATTGTAAAGTTAATATTCACTTTTCCACTCAATTTCACTTTATTACAGATAAATGGGCTCAGGTTTTTTTCCAATAAAAGAGTAAATAAAAACAAACAAACAGAAAATTTACTGGTTGCACATGTTCGAGTAGATGTAAGAATTACTTGCACTGTTTCAAATTTTAGGGCCAATCATTACTTTTTTGCAGCCTTTTGGAGTGCAGCTGTGGCATAAAGATGTTTGGGGGGTTCTCTAAGACAGTAAGAATCAGGTGACTTTGAAGCGCCGTCTTAGCATTTTTACACTATTGACAAGCTTTAAGATTTCTGAAAAAGGTTATATGGCTTAAGCTTGACACAGTGTAGCGCCTGCTTATGCTAAGCACCAGGCACACACACACAATTACGCCAGGAGCCTTTCGAGCAACGGTGGGCACTGAAGATTAGACAGATGGATTATATGTCACTTTTTTTTACCTTTAAGCTGCTCCAATATCCCATTAGCCAATGCCCACAGTGAGCATGGTTTCATAATTCTATTCTCAGAATGTGCAGGTGTAGTATTATGGCCAATTATGGCCAATGAGTGTTTGCGAATGTGAGCTTACTGCATTTTTTGGGAAGCAGACATTACGAACTGGGGAGACGTTGCTGGTGGAACTTGCAAATTACTAACTCCATTTAATGTCTGCACATCAGTTGGAACATAAAACAGCATTTGCACCACAAGGGCATTCCCCAGGATGCACACACAAAGCGACGTGATATGAGTTGTTGCTATGAATATATTATGGTATGTTGTGGCGATGTTGAGAGAAACAAAACGAGACCACAAAAATAGATACAGCATTTGAAATTCCATCGAGGTTTGTGAAGTTCACGGAAAAGTTAATGGACACAATTGTACTTGTAAAAAATGACTGCATGGACTTTCCAAAGTTGGACAAAATCTATTCTGTTTGACCTTAAAACTGGTCTAATTTGAAAAAAGTTTTTTCTTTTAAACAACATTATAGTGAATTCATACATTCTGGACATTGACTGTACAATGCAATAATTTCAGTAACATGTTGACATTTGCAACTGACACGTGAACTCGTCAGTTTTAACCCTTTCAGGGACAGCGGTTACTACAGTGGACAGCTGATCATGTTAACAGGTTATAGGATGCATGAAAAGTTAATTATATAATACATTGAATAAACAAGTAAATGTTCTCACCAATGATGGTGAGGGGGAAAAATGTATGATCATGTTCCACTGAGTGGCATTTTATATGTATTGCTGGAATTTTTGTGTCTGGTCTAACAAGCGAACAGCGAAACCCCGCATAGTCACGGCTTTGACATTCTCAATTTCACTTTTTTTTTTCCTGTAAATGTGTCAAAATCTATAAGTTGTTTGTTGAGATAATATGAAAGTTGGCACTCACTAGTACAATTTTGCAATGGTTGAGTGAGTTAGAGTGAGATGAATTATTGCCTTCAAGGCTTCATCTTCATTATGAGAAAGTATTGTATGTGCCACACTGTGTCAAACAACATATGAAGATGATATAAGTGGACACCTAATAGCCTGGCCCATCTTCTCACTTAGCAACTACTCAATTACAACTCCACCACCAAGGCCTGCGGCGAGCATGTTCGATCGCGAGGCCACCACTCCACTCTCGCCGAGTTGCCACTTCCCACCCCCTCAGCCTTGTACTGTATTCAAAAGCATCTCACATCAATACTCATCCCTTCTCATAGGCATCTCACTCAGAAAGGTCACTTGTTTCTGATTCAGCGAGCACCAACTTCCATTACAATTAAATATCAAATGTATTGACAGCCCTTGAATGAAAGAAAGAAATCTTTGTTGTGACACAGACTCGATAAAAAGATTAAGACCTGTGAATTTGAGGCTGGATTTCTTGTTCTGCGTTTGGATCGTCTGCCTTTTCTTCGGTTCAAATGATGTCATTTCACACAGTCTTGCAAGCGGGGTGTTCTGCCTGCTCCAATTTCCACTGTCTGGTAGCCTATTTGAGACGCAGTTCCCAAATAGAATGAAAAGCACCAAGCGAGCTTATCACCCGCCAGGTGCATTCACATGGTGGGTGCATGCAGTGATGTCTGGAGTGACCCAACTTAAACGGTTTTCAAGATACGTGTCGTTATTCGGAACAAGTTCTTGCAAATGGCAGGTAATGTGATGATACAAACACTGTTTAAACGAGAATTAAAAAAAATAAAATAAAATACCAGATTGCTAATCGCAAGGTACTCCTTCCGAAACAAAATGTGGATGTGAGACTCGGGTGTGCAGGCTGCACAGAAGTGTACACTAACACAAAATAGACACACACACACACACACACACACACACACACACACACACACACACACACACACACACACACACACACACACACACACTCTAGCCCAAAAAGTTATTTATCACACACACACACACACACACACACGCGCACACTCTAGCCCAAAAAGTTA